ATACTAAGATGCTGGAGCAGGACAGATCATCTATCATCTTCCATGATGGACAGCCCAGGATTAGTATGGACTGCCTGCCTCTAGGGTTCTTTAATATGAGAAAGATGTAAATCTCTCTCCCCTGTTTATACCACCATTATTTGGGACTTCTTGATATATGCAGCCGAATCTAATCCTAACCAAAGTATAAGCTTTGCCATTGAATCACTATGTGACCTTGGACAAGACAGGTCTCTCCTCTGGCATATATCTCCTTGTCATAGTGGCAGAGGCACCACAAACCAAGTCCAATGTCCAGGGACAGGACTAGTTCTTGTTGGACCCTCAGGGTTCTCATTTGGAAGCAGGGGGTAGAATCACTGTCTTGGCCGAGATGAGGATGCCTCACGCATGAAGAGGACACCTGGGGTGGACAGAGAGAGGGGGCAAGGGAGGCTTAAGAGGTCCTTGGCACTGCCCTTGAAGCCTGCAGGTCCTGCTTCTTTGCTCATCTGGGACTGTGGAGAGCAACTGCCTTGAAAGGTCACACAAATAAAGGTGCCTGTTTGGTTTTGCCGTATCCCGGCCTGGGGCTGCAGTTCTAGTGCTGGACGCCAGGGGGCAGGCAGCCTCCTGGGTCTATGGTGTCCACCAAGCTTCGGGGGGGCAACTGGAGCAGAAAGAGTTACACAGAGGTCATTCTGGCTGTCCCCCGGCCTCAGAGGCAACTCGACCTCCTGTTACTAGTGTTCATCTCCACAGACTGAGTTGGTAAAAATCAAGAAGGGGGGTGCTCCCAAATTCTCCCCTTTAATCACTGAGCAGCCAAGCACTCAGCCTGTCCCAGGTGCCCTGGGAGGCCAGGTGCGGTGCTGAAGATGGCTGAGTGGTCTCTGCCTGCAAGGAACTCATAGTCTGGAGGGAGATGGACAAAAGCATGACACCAGGGACACGTGAAAGGAGAGAGCAAGTGCCCTGCCTGAAATGAAGCAGGGTGCCGTGAGGGAGGACGAGGGAGTCACTGGGTAGGAGACCCTGAAAGGCCTCCCTGGGGTGACATTTTCTGGGACCGGATGACAAGAGGGAGAAGGCACCACTGGGGCAGAGACTGGCAGGCAGAAGTGGGTTTGGTCAGAGGGTGTAGGGAGGCGGCTGCGGGGCTGGAGCGGGGAGCAGGGCAAGGGGAGGAGGGAGGGACTGGGTCATGGGGCCCGCAGCCTACGTTAGCTGTGTATTCCTCTCTGACAACATTGCTCCAAAATTTAGTACCTTAAAACTACAAATATTTAATATCTCACCATTTGTGTGGACTGGGAATCTGTTCACGGCTTAGCTGGGTTGCTCTGCTTCAAGGTGTCTCACAGGCAGGTGCTGTGGCTTCATCTGAGCTCAACTTGGGGAGGACTTGCTCCCAAGTTCATTCACAGGCTGCAGGATTCTGTTCGGACCGAGAGTCTGAGTTCCTTTCTGTCTGTTGGCCTGGGTGCTCCCTCAGTTCGCTCTTGGGTGGACGACTACTCAGCACAGCTCATAACATGGGTGCTTGCTTTCCCAGATCCAGAGATATAACAGAGAAAGAAAGAGAAAGAGAGAGAGAGAGAGAGAGAAGTAGAGAGGTGTGGGGCTGGGAAGAGGCAGTGAGCAGGAGGGAAGGAAGGGAGGGGAGGGAACACAGGCGACAGCAGCTAAGAGGGGAGGGACAGACTGTCTGTCATTACATCTTGGAAGTGACCTCCCGTCACTCTTGCTGTATCCTGTGGGTCACAAGCCAGTCACTAACCACTTAGTAGTTGCACAGAGAGTGGAGCTTCCTGGCTGGACGTAGAACACGGGCTGTGCCCCTGGAGATGCCCCGGGAGGCGTGTTCAGCAGGCTCACCCCAGGACTGGGAAAAGTGGCCACATTTTGGAAATGACTCAATGATGAAAAGTGTAGCCTCCCTCTCATCCTTAGAAAAGTAAAAATAAGAAAATGGATTAGATGTCATTCCTCATCTGCTGAACCAGCAAAAAAATTTCCCCCAAAGCTCCTGAAACTAGAACACTTGGTGTGGATGAGGGAAATGGGCACTGAATCCTCACTGACTCTTCTCCTGGAGGGTGACTTGTGCCGTGTCCCCAGATGCCCTCTCCTTTGACTCAGGGAATCTACTTCTAGAAACCAGAGGCGATGACTAGAGATGTGCACAGAGTCCATGTTGGGGGATACCTTGTTTCTAAGAGCCCTGCCCGGGACACACCCCTTGTCCGACAGAGGGCATCCGGCTCCTCTGGCAGTGGGACACTGCAGACAAGACCCCTTAGTGGGCCATGAACTGAGCTAGTGGATTATGTTAGGGTCAAAACCAAAACAAAACACAAACAAACCAAAAAAGGAAAATATTAGAGAGCAGCCTTCCCCGTAAGGGTGAGTGTTGTTTCATGACTCGGTCTCAGTTGGGGGTGTGTGAGGGCACTGCCAGCACGTGGAGTCCATTCCACACGGTGGGCAGTGGCAGCAAAGTATGAAGACTGATGGTGTTAAGTGGGTATTTAAGGATATGGAGAGGGTATACCCAGCTGAAATTTAAAAACAGAATGCATATTATGATTCCGTTTTGCAAATATAATGCACACACATGGAAAATGGTGTAGGGAACGGCTGTCTCTGGATGCCAGGATTTTTTTTTTTTTTTTGCAGTTCGCGGGCCTCTCACTGTTGTGGCCTCTCCCGTTGCGGAGCACAGGCTCCGGACGCACAGGCTCAGCGGTCATGGCTCACGGGCCCAGCCGCTCCGTGGCATGTGGGATCTTCCCGGACCGGGGCACGAACCCGTGTCCCCTGCATCAGCAGGCGGACTCTCAACCACTGCGCCACCAGGGAAGCCGTGATACCAGGATTTTTATAGTCTTTGTTTTGCTTATTTGGTCCTTTTTTTTTTTTTGTCTACAATGAATATTCCTTTTGGAATAATACGGAAAACAATGAAAGGCAGCATACTGAGGGGGAAATAAGAAAAGAATGGGAACTTGTTTTTGCCTTGACCCTTCAACCTTGTGGCCTTAGTGCACAAAGGCTGGCCCAGCTGAGCAAGCTGGGCCTCACTGGGTGCAGCGGGCCAGGAGAGTGGAGTTTGTGTCCCCACTGGACAGGTGACAGAACTGGACTCAGAGGGCCACACAGCACTGAAGGATCGGCCCAGGCCTCCCAGTTCTGCGTTCCTTCGGCTCCCTGGCACTGCCACTGTTTGTAGGCTCTGTCTGGGCTGCGGTGAGCCCCCAATACCTGCCCCAGTCCTTACATCCCCCTCCCAGCTGTCCTGCCACAGCAGGCATGCTTCCTCCAGCCTTCCCTGCCCACTGGGACGTCACCCAGATGAAGGAGGTGGAGAGTCAGTGACCACAGGCTGTCCTGTGCCCAGGTCTGCGTCCTGTTCTCCATGCATGCGGCCCAGTGTCCGGGAGGAGTGGGTGGCAGGCGCAGAGACTCTGAGGCCGGCAGAGGAGAGAGGTAGCTTTCCTACGTACAAAGCACCCGGGTGCATTCACTGCAGGCTGAGTTTCAGGGGCAGTCAGAGCTGGGCTGGAACCCCGGCTGCAGCACTCTCCCGTGGAGTGACTTCGGAGGTATCTTCATTTCTCTGAGTTTCAGTTTTTTATTTACAAAATAGGGGTTACGTGGTGACTGCCACCTGTCCCTGGCAGGACTGAATTAGATCGTGTACCTGCAGAGCATGCCGCAAGCTGGAAGGGGCTATGCCGACGTGACGTGCTGCTTTGGGGAAAGAGGGTGCTGTGGCAGAGTGGTGCAAAGGGGCCTGGCTTTAGGTTTGGGAAACCTGCGGCGGTGACACTGCTGATGCTGCGCTCATATCCCCTTGGCCCACCTGATTCACCTGCAGCTGAGGAGCTGGTCTCCAGCCAGCATCCCTTGAGACCCCCTGCCTGAGGGCGTGTCTGGCACCACGGGAGGTTCCTGTCCCAAAAACTGGCACAAGGGGCAGTGTGGCAGCACTAATGCCGGGCAATTCTCTACCTGCACTGACAGAGTCAGGTCAGGTGGGAGGCTGTTTTCCAGCGAGGTGGAGCCTGCTCACCCATAGCAGGGGCCACTCCTCAAAGCCCCCTCAGTAGCTTTTCTCCTTCTAGGCTCCCTTTCCCTATGTCCTCACTCGTGCTTCTTGGAATCATCTCCAAAACAAGCGGCTTGCCTCCAAGTCCTTGTCCACTTCTGGGGAACCCGAACTCTGCTGAGGTTCTGCATTGCCTGTGTCACTTTGAGCTGGTTGCCTTGACCTCCTGGACTTGAGTTTCTACAACTGTAAAATGCGGGCAATACCTACCTCATCGAGTCGTTAAGAGATAAAGCACATGGAAACTCAGACTGAGGCAACGGTAACATTCAAACTGTGTAGGAGCAGCAGAAGCTCAGGAAGTGGAGGAAGGAGCCTGAACCGCCTGTGTCCACAGGGCACAGAGAGCTGCTGGCACAGTGAGGCCGTGTTGCAATCAAAGAAGAAGAGAAAGAGGACAAGGAAGACGGCAGGATGCAGGTTTCCAAAGACAGTGATCTGAGTCTCACAGGACTAAAGAGACGCTTGGTAAAGTTAAAGAGGCCTAGAAGATTTCTGCCAAAATCATATAATTGGCCAGATTGCCAGACACCCAGCCAACACTGGATGGAGTCTTTATTGGGTCCAGGAATCAGCACATAGCTGCCGTTAAAACTCACGTTTTGTTAAATGTGCAATATACTCTTTCCCATAAGTTTTAATTTTCCAAGATGAAGTGCCCAGCATGCCTTTTGGAAGTTATTTCCTCTGAAGTATTGATCTCTATTTTAAGTTAACCATTCCTGTTATCCGCCGTCCTAGCTGACCGTGTGGAATTCCCCCTTTCACCTCTGTGTTCCTCATTGGAAGTGATCTCCATGTGGGCAGGGACCACAACGTGTCCTGGTCACTGTGAAGGTACAGCGCTGGGCATAGAGCAGAGATGGATGGATGGATGGATGGATGGAAGGAAGAAGGGTGGGTGGATGGATGAGGAGTCCACACAAAATAAGCCTTTATTGGGAGCGGGTTGAGGGTGTCACAAGTACAGGCCCTGGATGGTGCGCACAGAGCACTTCCAGCTGTCCTTCCAGCGCTGAGCCTCCTTCACCTGCAGTGTGCTGTCGTCCTGGATCTTCTTCAACTCCTCTTCAAATGACGCTAAATATTTCTGGGAGCAAGCAGCAGGAGGAAGCCACGTGAGGAAGGGCTTCTGGGCTCTGTGCCCTAGAGGAATGCTGTAACCTGCTGCCAGTTAGCTTTGAACCCACTCCAGGCACCGGCAAGAGTTCCACAGGTCATTTCTCATTACTTTGCCCAATAACCCATCAGGCAGGCCCGGTTATTTCCCACATTTTACAGATTGGGAAACTGAGGCTCACAACCTTGCCTGGGGTTATTTAGCTAGAAAGAGGCTGAGCAGGGACTAGGACCCTGCTCTACCTGATTCTGCACTCTGCCCTCCTTCCTAATCACCACCCCGCACTGTAGCCTCCTTGAAGCTCAGGGGTCCTGGCTTCCTTGAGAGGCTGAGCCCACTAGGCCTGAGCCCTCACTGAACTTGGAAGCAGAGTTGTCCCCTCTGCCTGGGTCTTAGCACGGTGGCCTGGGACCTGAGGGCTCTCCAAATACTGGGGTCAGCATATCTCAGGACAAGGTTTCTCTCTCACCAGGAACAAAGGTCCACACATCTTCAGAGCCGAGAGGTCCTGCAGGAGGCCTCAGGGTGCAGCCTCCTCTTCGGGCAGGCCCCATGGGGTCTAACAGGCACTGGGCTCAAATCCTGGCTCTGCCACTCTGCAGTGCCATAGAGGGGGGGGCACACTTCTTTAAGTCTCGGTGTCCTCAGAAGCAACATGGGGACAAGTCTACCTTCTTCATGGGCTTGTTACAAGGATCCAATGAGAAGGCTCACGTCGAGAACAGCAACTGCAGCAGGTGCTCAGGAACTGTCCCTTATTCCACCCATCGTCACCCGCTGCTCCCATGGCCTCCATGCCTCTGACTACTCTGTCCCCTCACTCTGTCTCAAATGTTCCTCGGAAAGCCTTCCTTCACACACACACCCCCACCCAAGTCTGGGTGTGGTGTCTCTCGGCTGGGCTCCTACAGCACTGGGGCTCACACCATCAGACCCGAGCTATCATTGGGACTGGACATGACCTGTGGCTCACGCGCTGGTGCTTAAGAACATTGGCTGTTCCCAGTGCTGACACTGTGCCCTGGGGCACCCTGACGTGTGTCATCTGCTCCATGGACCAAATGACAGGACACCTGGTGATAGCAAGCTCCCTCCTTCCCAAGGCAGCCACACCGAGCTGCCCTGCGTTCCCTGGGGTGCACCCACCCCACCCTGTCTCTCCACTCACCAAATAGATAGCATCTCGAGCTTGCACGGATGCCAGGTGGCCCAGGGTCGTTTTGGTGGTGGTGATTGATGGTGTTTTCTGGAGGAGAATCTTGTGTTGGATGGTGACTTCGGTGGGTTTGATTCCTGGCCACTTCCTACAAACAAACATGCATGAAAAGTCCTACAGGCTTATCTTCATCATTCACAGTGCACCCTTCATCCCTGGTGAAAAAGGTTAGCATTTAAAAAAATATATATCATGCTTTAAACGTCTTAATTAAAAGAAAAACCCTGATAATAAACAAATGGGACCTAATGAAACTTAAAAGCTTTTGCACAGCAAAGGAAACCATAAACAAGACGAAAAGCCAACCCTCAGAATGGGAGAAGATATTTGCAAACGAAGCAACTGACAAAGGACTAATCTTCAAAATTTACAAGCAACTCATGCAGCTCAATATCAAAAAAACAAACAACCCAATCCAAAAATGGGCAGAAGACCTAAACAGACATTTCTCCAAAGAAGATATACAGATGGCCAACAAACACATGAAAGGATGCTCAACATCACTAATCATTAGAGAAATGCAAATCAAAACTACAATGAGGTATCATCTCACACCAGTCAGAATGGCCATAATCAAAAAATCTACAAACAATAAATGCTGGAGAGGGTGTGGAGAAAAGGGAACCCTCTGGCACTGTTGGTGGGAATGTAAATTGATACAGCCACTATGGAGAACAGTATGGAGGTTCCTTAAAAAACTAAAACTAGAACTACCATACGACCCAGCAATCCCACTACTGGGCATATACCCTGAGAAAACCATAATTCAAAAATAGTCATGTACCACAATGTTCATTGCAGCTCTATTTACAATAGCCAGGACATGGAAGCAACCTAAGTGTCCATGACAGATGAATGGATAAAGAAGATGTGGCACATATATATAATGGAATATTATTCAGCCATAAAAATAAACGAAATTGAGTTATTTGTAGTGAGGTAGATGGACCTAGAGTCTGTCATACAGAGTGAAGTCAGAAAGAGAAAAACAAATACTGTATGTTAACACATATATATGGAATCTAAAAAAAAAAAAGGTTCTAAAGAACCTAGGGGCAAGACAGGAATAAAGACACAGACAGACGTAGAGAATGGAAGTGAGAGAGTGGCATGGACATATGTACACTACCAAATGTAAAATAGAAAGCTAGTGGGAAGCAGCCGCATAGCACAGGGAGATCAGCTCGGTGCTTTGTGACCACCTAGAGGGGTGGGATAGGGAGGGCGGGAGGGAGACGCAAGAGGGAGGAGATATGGGGATATATGTATATGTATAGCTGATTCACTTTGTTATACAGCAGAAACTAACACACCATTGTAAAGCAATTATACTCCAATAAAGATGTTAAAAAAAAAGAAAAAGAAAGAAGAAAAACCCTACTGAGCATTTAACATTAAGCTTCGTCAAGTTCTTTTTTGCATTTTCATACAGTTTAAATCCATGTGTATACACAGTTGGGTTCTGCCTGGGGAAGGGGAATCCCACACCTCTAGGTGTTTCCCTTTTCTGGGTCTCAGTTTCCTCATCAATTGGCCAGCGAGGTGGCAGTCATCAGTTCCTGGCCTGCTTTTCCTATTCTGCTATAAAACCACTGCTGACAACTTAGCTGGGCAAACCGCTGCCTTACCTCTTCTTCCAGAGTAACTTCTTGGGTCACAGGGGACAAGCACTTTGGTAGCTCTTGTCATACATGATGGACAGCAGTAGTGGATCACAGTGCCACCAGCAATCTGAGAATGTGCCCCACACTGGGACAGGCCTCCATTTCTTTGGGGGCCCCTTTGTGGGTCCTTATCACGTGAACTAATAGCTGCTGAGCTCTTAGTATGTGCCGGGGCACTCCAAGTACAATCTCATTGAACTTTCTCTTCATAATATCATGTAAGGTAGGCTGCCATGCCCATTTCACAGATGAGGAAACAGGCTTAGGACACAATGCCTTCCCAAGATTACCAGGTTTGTTTGACGTCAGAGCTCGTGCCCCTAACCATTCCACTGCACCACCCCCAGCAAATACAGCCATTTGTGGTATTACTCCCTGCTCTCGGCTCTCACCTGCTCCCTCGTTCAATCAGGGGCTTCTCACTTTCTTCCTCCAGGGAGAGCCCGTTGAGTTTCCTCCGTATTAGGATTGATGTTTTCTGTTTCGGGGGCTCCATCTCTGGCAGGCAAGAGACAGGTTACTGACAGCGGCCTCACCCACAGCCTGAGATCAAGGGGACCCCCGACCTTACATTTAGAGAAATGAGGGCTCGCTCCCCTCTTCCCCACTTGGAGTCTCAGGCAGGAGGCAGAGGCCCCTCCCAAACAGAAGCCAAATGCACCAGATTCATAGGTGGGGGCCGAGGAGATGGCGGGGGGTCAAAGCTGGAGGGTGTGAAGTATGGTTTGGGCATGGTTCCCAGCTCCAAAGCCCTCAGAATGATGCTCTGACCTTCTTGCAGCTCCTGTGAGCCCCCGAATATGCTTTGTAGAGCCTTCTTTGCCTTATACTAGCTCAAATGGGTCCTGAACTAAGAATTTCTCCTGGAATGCATACATTCAAGGTTGTCCCTCTCATGTCCGGCTCACTGACCTGCCCTTTGACGTGAAGAGAAAGGGGCTCCGTCCTCGCGGTGAGCAGCCCTCTGCACCCTGGTCTGTGTGGATGGCAGGGCCAGGCTGCTTGGCTCAGAGCAGGAGAGGCTCCTGTAGACCTGGTGCAGGGGGTCTCCCTGGCCTGGCAGTTCCCTCCAAGTTACCGAGGCTGCCTCCCTGCCGGCTCCTCTCGCCTGTTCTCCCTCAGGTCTGAACCCCAGCGTCTCTGCAGGCTCTGCTCTCCCAAACCAGGCTCACATTTGCCAAAGAGAGCCCCAACACTGGAAAGTGACCAACGCCTCGAAATTCATATACATTTTGACCTAGAAAGTCCACTTCTAGGAACCTGTTGCCCCGAAACAGAGAAATATGGATGCAGACATTCCCTTCAGCACGATTACAGGAGTGAAAAGCTGGACGTGCACCAGCAGGGAACTAATCAGTAACATACGACGCACAGCAACTGAAAGTGCTCAAGGAGGTGGTGACTGGCTTGCCCAGCGTCCGCCCAAGGGGAAATTAGCTTACAAAAGAGCACACACTTGTGATCCACCCTCCCATCCCCCCGCTGATATCCACACAGGCCTGTGCCGGGAGGGAAATAAGGAGGAGGACAGCCAATGTCAAGGGCACTTATTTCTGGGTAGAATGACCACGTTCTTCTCTTCCTTTGTAACTCATATTGAATTTCTCATTTTACTGTAAGAAATATTCATTGTCTGTCTAATGAAAACTTAAAAATATAAAAATAATATATTTATTTACTTAATAGATTAGTGATAAATGGATAATATTTAATATATGATTTGAATCTTTGTGTAGTTATAAAAGTAACTGGTGCACATTATAAAAAATTTAAACATCACCTAACGGGGAAAAAGAAAAGATTTTAGAAATCTCTCACAGCCCCACTTACCAGAGATGGTCATCAAGAGTCTGGTACCTGTCTCTCAGGCTCTGTCGCTCTCGTTCTCTGTCTCTGTCTGTCTCTCACACAGACTCATTTACATATGTGCGGGGTGCATGTTTATATCACATATGTGTTTTTTTAATAGTATCATAGGTAAGTATAATGGTCACCTTGCTTTTTCCTGTGACAGTGTTCCTTCAGGACCTTCTGGTTGGCACATAGAGACCTACCACACCCACTTGAACAGCTGCACAGTACTCCCTCCTACATCTGGACCATAATTTATTTACCCAATCCTCTATATGTAGATATTAACATTGTTTCCAGTCCTTTGCAATTTCAAGCAGTGTTGTGAAGAATCTGCTTGAAAATATATCTTTGAAAAAGTATGCACGTATTTCTGTTGGATAAATTCCCAGGGTTAGAACGGCTAGGTCAAAGGCACACACACTCAGGACTTTGAAGGCACCGACAACAGAGTGTTCTCCAAGAGAGTGGGGTGGACGTACACTTCTCCGAGAGGCTCTGTGGTGCTCAGGCTTCCTGACAGCCTCACCAGTGCTGGCTGTCACTGAACTTAAAAGCCTTGCCAGGTTATTGGCGAGAAATGATATCTTAATAATGTTTATATTGACATTTTTCATCATTGGTGAAGTCAAGCATCTTTTAAATTTATTGGCCTTCTGAATTGCATGTTTGTTCTCTATCTCTTTTTACAAATTTGGCCTGTTAGGGTTCCACAGGGAACCTAATACCACAGGGATATTAGGCCATTCTCTGACCTATTAGTTATTAGGAATATTTTTGCAGTTTGTGGTTCGTCTTTCCATATTTTGACATTTTTCCTTGTTTTTGTTTTGGCCACAGAGAAGTGCCAGCCATTCCTTTATGGCTTCTGGCTCTCATACTTAGGAAAGCTGTCCCTACCCCAAGATTATGAAAATATTTAGCATTAGGATTTCATTTTTTATATATAATCTTTGATTCATTTGGGATTTGCTTTTTTAGTTTAAAAAAAGAGAGTTTTAATTAAAACAAACAAAAATTCATCAGTCCCCTCCATAGAGAATGTATTTTCATTCTGGGGGAGTTGGGGGAAAGCAGACGGCCCCCCCACCCCACCCCAGGCCCATCACCCTGTGTCACACCCCCTGGGGCCAGGGCACAAGGCCGGTAGCACACATACTTGCAACCTGGACATCGTCAATGGTGACCACCTCGTCCAACTGCAGCAGGAACTTCTCAGTGAAGGCGGCCAAGCTGGCTATGAAAAACCGGCTGTACTTCCGGGTGAACTCCTGGAGGAAACATGGGGAACACGGTGCTGCAGGGAGAGGAACTTGTCTCCAAAGACAGGCTGAGGGAGGATTTGGGGAGCAGCATGTGAGACAAGACCAGGGGCACGTGTCAACTGTGTCCAGGTTAACAGGCATCTGGTCTTCCCCAGGAGGCCTCTCCCTAGAGGGGACTTGGTTTGAAGATAGGCAATGATTCTGAAATGGCCAAGGGACAGACATAGACAATTTACTAAAGAGGAAATAAAACTTGACATGGATCTTGGAAAAGAAGTTCTCATTAGTAATTAATTAAGTTAGAAATTTAAAAATGCAAGTTACAACAGCCAATAAAGACCATCTCCACCTATGACACCTGCCTGCTTTCATATCCTGCTTTGGCCAGGGTGTCAGCAAAGGGCCGTGCTCAGTGCTGTTGCTGGGCTGTCAGTGGGGGTGACCTCTGGAGGGCAGTGCAGCCCTCAGCATCTAGACATGGAGTGGATGGCACTACTGACCTCCAGTTGCTCCCTGGTCACTGCAATCATGGTGTCCAAATCTTCCTGCCTTTTCTCTTCCACTTGACACAGAGACTCCATTTCTTGGAAATGTGCGGGGTGTCCGAGATTTGGGTGGAGCTTCTGGGCATTTTCATCCTTCAGAAAATCCAGAAATCAGTAGGTTTTTTGACCTGGTCTTGAGGTCAGGACCAAAAAGTCACTGGCCTATGTCCTCTGCCAATTATGGCCACGGCCAGACTGATGTGTGCACTGACCTGGGTGTGTGAAGGGCTGAGGAGTGGCAGAGGAGTGGCTGAGGAGGGAAGACAGGGACATGGCTGGAGCTGACTCCAAGGGTTAAGAAGTGGGAGAGCTGAGCACCTGCCCCAGAACAGTCAGGGTTTCAGTCCAATAAAATCAACAGCATCCATGTCCCATGGCTCGAAGGACCATGTGGACAATTACTGTTGATCTCAATGGCCACAGCCCCATAGAACCAGCTGACCCAAAGGTTAAATCCAACAAGGAGCGTGCTGAAGGCCTTCTATGAAGGAGCTGTTGGCTCAGCTCTCGTCTCTCCAGTGCCTAGTGTCCCTCACCCCCATCCAACAATCCCAAGCCTGGCCCACGTCCTTCCCTGGGACTCAGTTCTGCCGACGCCCCACCTCCATTTCTGAACTCCCAGGGCCTCTGGTCCTGGAGAGGAGGGGCTGGTCCGGGGGGCCCCACCTTCCTTCTCTCCAGCTGTTCCTGATAATTCGAGAACTGTCCCCGGATCTCATTGGTGGAGGTGCAATATTTTTTCCAGTGGTGCTCCTTGAAATTTTCCATCGCCAGCCAACACACCTGGGGCAATAGCTCCTCAAATCTCCTCATCTGGGCCCGTAATTCTGTAGGAATTGGGGGTGGGGGACCAGGAGTGAGCACAGAGCAGAGCCAAGTTGCTGTGGCAATCTCTCCAACAAAGGCTCAAAGCAGCTTCCCAAAGAGAAAGGCTTGGTCTACAGTGTGGTAATAGTTATTCCATCAAAAGGGGTCCTGTGGTCAAACCAGCATTAAAAGTACTGGACTAAACAAGTTCAAAGGACTTCTTTTCTACCCTCTGCAGGACTTTCCAGTGCTTTCAAAATGCACTGCATCTTTCAGCAGTTCTGTCTCATCCATTCTCTCTTCAAATATTGCCTTGACTCTAAGTCTCCTCCTCTCCCTCCCTCCTCCTCTCCTCTCCCTAGCTGCATGCCAGACCTACTCTTTCTTCCATTTCTTTCCACCTCTCTCCCGTATTTCCATTTCTTTGTTTTTCTGTGCTGCATTTTGGTTATTTTCTTTGGTATTAAAGCCATTCATAAGTTTAAAATTTCAATGATTTATTTTTCCAATATAGAAGTCTGATTTGGTTCTCTTTCATATTTACTTGGCCATTTTAATAGTCTTTTGCTCCTTACTCAAGTTTCCAATTTCCTCTTTTATTTAACTCTAAATAAATACATTATTTTATATTCTGTGTCTGATACATTCAATATCTGAAGTCTTTACTGGTCTCATTCTGCTGCCTCATGCTCAAGGTGCCTTTTTCTGTGTGTGTGTGTGTGTGTGTGTGTGTGTGTGTGTGTTTTACGGTGAACTCTTTTTTTTTTTTTTTTTGCGGTACGCGGGCCTCTCACTGTTGTGGCCTCTCCCGTTGCGGAGCACAGGCTCCGGACGCGCAGGCTCAGCGGCCATGGCTCACGGGCCCAGCCGCTCCACGGCATGCGGGATCTTCCCGGACCGGGGCACGAACCCGTGTCCCCTGTATCGGCAGGCGGACTCTCAACCACTGCGCCACCAGGGAAGCCCTGTGGTGAACTCTTATTCTGGGCATTTTATTTGTGGGAATCCCTGGAGGCCTGAACTGAAGGTGGGCTTTTCTGGAGAGGATTTGTAGTATCTCTACTAAACAAGCATCTGGGTGTGACTAACTCAAAATCATTTTAAGCTAAGGTATCAGCTAGAGGTCTTATGGATGATCCACAAACACAAAGTTGAATTTAGGTTTGTCTAAATGTGACTTCAGGTTTAAACACCACATAAGAGCTGGCTTATAGCTATGGATTTTCAATGGAGTTTTTCTTCTTCTTTATCCAGTGCCACGGCTTATAACAAGACAGTTTCCTTCTAGTCACTGGGGGAGAAGGGGATATGGTTTCTGTCTCATTCTCCTTACTATGCAGATGGAGCCCTGTGGAGACCCAGTTTTCTGTGGCTTGTGCCCTTTCAGACTGCCCACCTTGGGTCATCGGGTGCTTGGTCTCTGTTCCCAGTGTCCTGGAGGCCATGGAAACAGAGGCTCAAGTGGACCTGGGAGTCAGCAAAGCCCTCATGGCAATAGCCAGAGTCACTGCTCAATTTATCTCTGATTTCCTATTCTCACTTAATCTTGGAGCCCTGTATGTTTCTTACTTTATAGCTAGCTCATCCATGCATTTAAAAGTTTACCGCAAAAGTGTTATATCCAGGATTTTTACATGTTTTCAGTGGGAGAGTTGGTCTGGATACTGGACTCCCTGAAGGAAATGGAAGTCTTCATTTAATGTGAACTGTCAATCTGCCCGAGAGGGACATAACCTGCAGCATTTCTCAAACCCATCTGACCAGGGAACCCCTCTTTTGAGGAAGATCACATAGGATGGGCTCCCACAGAGTTCACATGGGGAAACTCTGAGCTAGAGAAACAAAATGCTGCCCGTAGTTTCAGTTCCAGTCATTCTACAGCTACAGTAATGAGAGCCACTGCTGTGATTTCCCCTGCATATGGCAGGGCTGTGAGGGGCTTAATCCTCAAAAAAGCCTTGCCTGGTGGGTATTATCCTTGTCTCCATTTACAGGCAAGAGAAGGTGACTCGGTCAAGGTCATATGGCTGGGAGATGGCAGTGCTGGGTCTTGACCCCAGGTCTGGCCGTCCCCTAATCCTCTCCCTCTTCTACCCGTGCTGCCCCTCAACCAACACAGAAGGCCTGTGATGGGCTCTCAGGTTCCCTGCCTTACAAGCAGAAATAATCAGGACTTATGACTGCATAAAACACACATAGCTGTGGACATGGAGAAATAGGAACAGGGGCGGGACCTATGGGTATGTTTTCACAGCTCCCTTTAGGTCGTTATAATAAACATAAACGGCAAGATGTATCCTGCCTGCCTCTTTTCATGTCCCTATTCTCTAGGAGGCTATGTCTATCAAGTTCATCATAGCCCAAACCCAGCACAGGCCAGGCATACAGTAGGCACTGTGGAAGGATTTTTCAAATGATTAAACACAGAGGCACCATATGATCCAGTAATTCTCCTCCTAGTTATAAACCCAAGAGAAATGAAATCACACATCCACACACAACATGCACGTGAACGTTTGCAGCAGCAGCATCCATAATTGCCAAAAGGTGGAAACAACCAAATGTCCATCACCGAATGAATAAATAATACTGCATGACTCCATTCATGTGAAAGCCCAGATAGGAAAATCTATAGAGACAGAAAGTAGACTAGTGGTTGTTTACGGCTGGGGACGTGATGGAGGGACAGTGGGCTCTAAAATTCACAGTGGTGATGGTTGTACAACTATATGGCTATATTAAAAGCCACTGAATGGGTGTAAAGTGTACAATTCAATGCGTTTTAGTACATGAAAATTAAATAAAATTAAATGTATTAAATTCATTAAGTGAATGTTTCCATAAAGCTGTAAAAAATATCTATTCAATGAGTGAAACATTTTTAGTGATACAAATCACCATATTTCTCGAGGAAAGTGAATTTTTTTTGGCATTGTTGTTTCTCCCCAGTTAAATCTGATCAAGGTTTTTACCTAATTGTAAGATGTCAGCTTTTCACAGGGAGGCTCCTTTGCCTCCCCAGTGACCTCCAGGTCAGGAAGGCATCATTCAGGCCGTGAGAGGCTCTGTGCCCCCAACCCCACTGGCCTGCAGCCCATCTGCTGGCCACACCCACCTATGAGGCAGGAGTTGTGGTACTCATCGGCCTGGCTGTGGTACACCAGGATCTTCCTGCTGACGTTCTCTGCGCACTGGTCAAAGGTTCCGTACATGCAGTCGGGCCTGGTGATTGAGTGCTTCTCTTTGTGGTAAAACTCCTGCAGGAAAGGGTTGAAAGTGTGGGTGCCAGGCCCCTCCCCAGGGGGCTCTGGCCCAGCATCTTGGCATCCTCCACTGTGCTCTCCTCACCCCCTGGCCTTCTCTACTGCTGTCCTCTCCGCCAGGGTTGCTCCTCCTCCCTGTCTGTCCTTGTCACCACTGTCAGTATCCCAGGGCTGTGCGAGGCATGAGCGAGCCAATGGTATAATTCTAGGTATCTTTCAAGAATAAAATGGGTCTTCCACCCACCAGGCCGAGAGCTTTCTCTGAAGCGCCAAGCTGGGCCACTAATACGGATGACCCAGAGCTCTTCTCTGAAGACTCACAGCCCAGGGGGAGGCAGGCAGGAAGCACACAGACACCCCTGTGTGGGATGCACTGGACCAGGGCCCTGGGTCGCTCCTACTAGAGGTCCCCAGCTCCCACGGCCCCACCCATCCCTCTGTGGTGCCACCATGTCTGTCATCCTCTGCTGGGTGCCGGCCTCTCAGGGACAGAGACGGGGCTTGTTCCTCTTGGCACACCCGGTATCTGACACACAGTAGCCAAGAAATGGTTGGTGGCTGGATAAATGGGTAAATGAATGGATGAGCATGAATTTCTAGGATGAAAGACAGCACATGAGGTGACAGAAGCTGGGTAGCGTGGTCATGGGGGCTGCAGTCCCCTTTGTTCAGTTTCACCCAAAGGCCATTATCAGCAGAAGGCAGGAGGCAGAGCCCACTGGGGATGTGTGACCAGCGGATGGCAAAGGGGCAGGTAGAGCCCTCACCTCCACCACGGTCAGCAGGTGCTCGTTGCTCTCCCAGAGGAGGCTCAGGACGATGCCTTTAAAATCCCTGCAACACACAGGAGACAGATCCCTGAGAGGACTTGTCTAATCACACTAAATGGTGTGGACAAAGCCAAAGGGACTGAGCATTCTGAGTACTCAGCAACCCGGCCGGAACTGGAGTTGGACAGCTCGGGATGCCCAAGCATGTCCCCACCTAATATTTCTGTTCATCTAGTTTAACGCCTCTTGCATGTGACAAGCTGAGCTTGGCAGCTTCCAAGTGTCTCTGTTCTCTTTTGTCTTCATCACTTCTTGTAATTACTCATTCCTGCCCCAGGGCCATTTCTCACACTGATTCCTCTCCAGGGAACACCAACTTTCCTCTTGGTCACGTTTGTTCCTGCTCTTCCATAGATCCTGGCTCAGTGGTGATTCCTGACTGCCTTGTTCCAATGCTCTTTGTGGCCCTCAGCTTTACAGCACTCCCCACAGGGGGACTGGGGACTGATCTGTGTGACTGGTCATTAGCCCCATCTCTCCCAGCACCTGGTGAAGTCCACCAGGACACACACTGTGTGTCTGTTTTTGTTCACCATGGAATCCGCTGTCCCATCCCAGTGCCTGCACCTATCAGTGCCTCAGTCTTGGTTGAGGGAAGAAAGAATGATTTCTTATAAATATTAGTCGAACGAGCAAGACTGCCTGTAGGACCAAACATCCTCTTTCTGGTACCTCTGGCCTTTGGGTTGACTGTGCGCACACGAGGTCTTTACTGAACAAACCTGCACAGATCCAGTGAATATTCCTGTCGGTTAGGTCAACTGCCTCAACAGTAAGACTGAAACAAGGGACAGATGTGTTAGAACTGCATGTACCTGTAGGACAGCTATTTTTTCACAGTTTCTATAAAGTGATGCAGTGACTGCTTTACACACACATCAGTTTTGGCATTTTCTAAAATACATGTATATTAGTCATGTGATCTTTCATTTAAAAATTCATTCATCATAATTAAAGAAAATTAGAAATAAACTGAAAAGCAAGAAGAAAAAAATAAATGCTAACATTTTACTGTATTTCCTTCTGCTGATTTTTAAATTGGTCTGGAACTAGGTTCATGGGCATTTTACATTCTGCACACTTAAAAGTGTTCCCCCTACATTATGATATCATTTTAAATGGCTGTGTGACACCATCGAGTATGTATGCACCGTGGTTTACAATCCCCCATTTTTGGACCTTTAGGGTATTTTTCCCATTTTTAACTGGGATAAAAAGTATTGCATATGGTTTATCATGCAAGCGTTTTCTTCTTCATAGATGGTTTCCTTGGTAGAGGGACCCACGGACCTGCACAAAAGGCATAAACTTATGGCCTTCACTATACCTTTCCCGACTGCTTTCTGGAAAAGTAATTTGCTGTCTGTTGACCTTGACAAAAACTCTCCCCTCGAGCAAACGTTAGGCTCCTCTGCATGCTTTCACTATACTTTCCCAAATACTTTTCCACTGTGTGATTCATGACCCTGGCGTGATTTTACGAAGGATAATTTGGAACCTCATTGGCTTCTTGGGGAAACAAGATCTCCCCAAACTGGAGGGGAGACCCCCCCACAAGACCTCTCTCCCCCACCACGCCTATGCTCCTTCTTCCTCCTTTTGCCACCTTCCACCTTCCCTTCAGTTCCCTGGTTTCCTTTGATATGACCCCTTCATAGCCCTACCTCGCCTGTCTCTCTGTCCACCCTGCCAGACCTCTCCTTTCCCACTCCAGCCCTCAACTCCCTACAGTCGCTTGACCTAAATTCAGGCGTCCTGTCCCCATCAGGGCTCTCAAGGGACAGAGGAACTCCTGAAAGCAACTGCCTGAGGCTAAAGAGGAAAAAGGGCTAATTTGAAAGAGGCTGGATGTTTCACCCGCTCATATGCACTCTAGAATTCGGAAACTCTTGTTAAGTATACTTATTTTATGGCAATATAATTATTTGTGTGAATTCCACAAAAAGCTGTCCTCCTTGTAACAGGACGTAATTGGAAACATTGATGTATAACCAAGGCTTTGACTGAAATGTCATATGGACAACGATGCATAGGATCAGATGTGACCAAACAGTTTCAAGAAACTAAGGTTGACTTCATGGAGACAGTGCTTCAGAGCCCTCTTGGGAAAACCCACCTGGCACCTGGCTTATGAGGTTCCCAGCCTCACAGGTGAGTAAGGAAAACCTGAAGGTACTGTGGGGACCTCAAGGAGAGAGGCTTTCACCCAAATCTATAGGTACTGCAGGTGAAATCTGACTCGCCTTTTTGGCTTCAAGAGGCTTTTAAGAGTCTAATCTGAGATTCTTTTTGAAAAGTTCCAGCGACGCAAACGTAAAAAGTTTAGGTGGTCAGTCACCACGCTTGCTGCACTTATGTAAATAATCAGGCAAAGCTAATGAGACCAGACTTGTTTTGTAAACAAGAATCAAAAAGAAGGGCGACATAAATTTTATGTTTCAGTGGGAAACTATAGCACTCTCTCGTGATTAGTAGATTCTATCCCTATTCATTGGCTTTGAGGTTTTGTGACCTCCCTGGAAACTGGCATGGATCTCGCTGTCATGTACGTTTTGTCAGTTCTTACCAAATCTCAATTCTCCTAGTCTCCTTCAATATCTGGCTACAACTCTCCACTGAGAGCTGAAACCTGACTATCTAGGTCCCTGTTGGGACTCGAGGTTGTTCTGTAGCTGGCTTTTCCTCCAGGGTCCAAAGAAGCCCTGCCAGCTGGAGTGGGGTGATGGGCAACTGGAATGCCAGGAGCTGCTCCCGAGTGGGCCCCTCTGGGTGCTTCAGGCCCAACATCTAGAAAGCCCCTTGACTGGTTGCCCTACTACCAAGTCTCAGTAGATGGTTCAGCTGGCCCTTAAGGAACAAAAGGTGACTGAATAGAAATGAACTTATTGTTCAAAGGAAAGAAGAATGGCTTCTTGGTGAACGTCTAAATTTGGTGGAAATCTCTCTCAATAAATTTAGGTGAGTTAGGCTGAGACAAACCAATCTTGACTCTTACCCATCCCCATGCCGACCTCTCCTGCTCTGCGCCCTACTTCCCATTTCCCTTAGCTGAGTTAGATTTAGCTGCCCCCTGACAAAGATGACAGGTTAAAATGGAGTTAAAGGACATGGCATTGACACTTACTCCGCCGGAGGAGGTGGCTTGTCTCCGAGCACCTGGTACTTTCTATCTAGTCTGTTGGGCTTGGCATACCGTGTGATGCTGTGGGGCAAAGGTGTGTCAGTGCTCTGGAGGTTGGAGATGAACGCAGGCAGACCTGAGCCCGCGTGAGCCCCCGCTCCGGGCCTGCCTGTGCGGCCCCGCGCTTCGAGATGCTCCCTCCCCCTCGGCAGCTCTGGAGACAGCCTTATCGCGGGGCTGAAGCCCTGACCACTAAAACCCACACAAGGCTGCCGACAGTGGTTAAGGGACAGAGGTGCTCGGGCCCAGAAATCTGTATCCTTTTCTGTGGTGAGGACCCAAAGAAAACTAGGTTGAGCCACATGTAGGGTTGCCAAATTTTCAAATAAAAATACAAGTTAAACTTGAATTTCTTAATACAACACTGTAAATCAACTATACAACAATAAAGTTTTAAAAAGAACTCAAATTTCATATAAGCAATGAGAAATTTTTAGTGAACATCCCATGCGATATTTGGGACACACATATATAATATTAAAAATACGTGTTGTTCATCTGAAATTCAAATTTAACTGGGCATCCTGAATTTTTATCTGGCAGCCCTAGCAACATGTACTTCATTCGTAACCACTGAGAGACTGAATATGCAAATGGACAACAGCTGGACCATATGTAAGTAGAGAACTCTGGCCCATAAGCTGCAACAACCTGCCTAGGACACCAACCCCTTAGCTACAATAAAAAACTCAGGAAGCCGGCTTGTGGAAGTCTGACTTGCAGGAGGACAGATCGCTATTTCTAGCGGCAATCCAGGAAGCCAAACAATACCATGGAAAACCACCCAACTCCCGGACAGGTTCCCAGGGTGGGAGGCCATGCGAGCCAAGCCACTGGGCGGGGGTGAGCACAGACCAGTCTAAAGCCGGTGTCAAAGCCGGCCCCTTGTGGGGTCCCTTGGAGTGTCAGGGCTGCGAGCACAGGAGGTGCACTCTGAGGACATGGTCTGGTAAAGGGTGGCGGGGTGGGGTCTGAGGCGGGGAGATCGCAGGCAGCCTAGCCTTTCTACCTCGCTGCCAAGGTGGTACTGGCAGTGGACAAGCCCTTCTTCACGGAGTTCTCTGCCCGGCTCCGGAGTCGCTTCAAGCCTTTGGGTGACAAGCACCCAGGACAAGAACAGAGAATCCAAGGTGAGGTGGGGCCGGGTGGCACCACCAGCTGCCCCACCACCGGTGCCCTGAGACCTGTTTGCCGCTACCTGTTTGGGACCGCTCTTTGTCACACTGCTGGGTTGGACATTTGGAGTCAGGAAATCTGAAACCAAAGGAAAGGATGTGAGCTTTTCCCCAGTGACCACGAGCACGGCTCAGGCCAGGCACTGGGCACTATCCCAGTTAGCCCACGATGCCACGCGAGTCTGCCCAATCGTGAGCCCCACTTCAGAAGAGGAAGCTGAGGCTTTGAGAGGAGAAGCCCCCGCATAAGGTCACAGCTGTCAAGGGTGGGCTCACATGGGGGCTGGCTCCCGAAGGCTCAGGGCCCCACTGTGCACACCCGGGCCACTCACTGCAGGATCCTCCTGACCACCTCCACAGCTGGGTCTTCAATCAGGGACTTCCCCATGCGGCTTGGCTGGGTGAAGGACTCGGGGGTGACCACGTCTACCTTGGCCTCTTCTTCATGGGCTTCTGAAGACACCAGGATGTCACTCTCTACCACCAGGTTGGTCAGGACGTTGTCCTGAAGGCCAAAGATCAGGGCCCGATTGTGTGGGTGGCAGGCAGGCAGGCAGGCTGGGTTCCCGTCCCAGCACCACCTTGCCCAGGTGCTGTGGCTGGAGGCCAGCTGCCTGACCTCTTTGAGCCTCCCTTTTCCCTTCCGTGAAGTAGCAGTGATCATATCTACCTTAGAGGGCTATTCATTCATTCATTCATTTACACGTGCATGCTTCAAAAATGTTTCTTGAGTGCCTGCTTTCTGCAAGCCTCTACCTGGGTATGGGACACAGGGTGAAGAGCCCACATGTGACCCTTACCCTCTGGAGCTTACAGTCTGGTCAGAGAGACAAGACATTTATTTGACCACAAATAAATGGTCAAAAATGGGGCCAGGGCTTCCCTGGTGGCGCAGTGGTTGAGAGTCCACCTGCCGATGCAGGGGACACGGGTTCGTGCCCCAGTCCGTGAAGATCCCACATGCCGCGGAGCGGCTGGGCCCGTGAGCCATGGCCGTTGAGCCTGCGCGTCCGGAGCCTGTGCTCCGCAACGGGAGAGGCCACAACAGTGAGAGGCCCGCGTACCGCAAAAAAAAAAAAATGGGGCCAGTGTTATGAAGGGGAAGTTCCAGCGTCTTCCCTGAGGCTGAGGGTCATGGACCTGTAAGGCCACCCGTAGATGTGCCCAGGTGGTGTTTCTGACCAACGGACGAGAGAATGAGTACATGGATGAGTGAGTGGCCACCTCCCCCTCGAGTTAGACCTTAGAGAAAGGGTGGGAGTGGTGGCCCACCACGAGTGCTTAGGTGAACTGCTCCCTATTTTATCCTGCATCTTGGCTCAGTGCTAGACTGTAAGCACTGTAAGGGAAGGACTCCAGCTGGACCCCTAAGTTTCACCTTGTGAGGCGCAGTGCTGATGGTGTGATGGAAGCTTAGCACTAGTGGCACGGCGGGAAGAGCCTCCCCAAAGAAGGAAGGGCTGGTTCAGAGCGTGGCAGTGTGAGGCAGGGCCTGAGGGTGGCCAGAGCAGAACTTGAGGGGTGTCCGCTTATGCTCCCATCGGCTCTGTCACAGCCCTTCTGGCAGCTGGCTGAGCACCTCTGGTGTTTAAAGCTTGGTGAGAGAGGGTGGGGTGAGGGCGACAGGTTCTGCCCTCTTGGGGCACACCGTCTAGGCGAGACGGCTCCTAAAAGGGAGACCTCACTGCATGGTCTGTGGGCTCATGGGGAAGTGGGACATGCCACCAAAACCAGGGGGTGAGAGAAGGCCTGGGGGAAGAGACCTCTTACGGGGGCCAGAGAAATGAAGTGCCCATGGAGGGCAGACCTTGGAGGAGGTTGCTGCGCAGGTCTAGGTAAAAGGTCTGGATTTTGTCGCAAGGGCAGGAGAGTGACACGGGAAGACTAGCCTTGTCCAACATGAGGTCTGGCTGCAGCTCTGGGAATGGATCATGGGGGGAAGTGAGATGATAAGGGCAGCCACGTGGGCAAGAGACGGGGGGTTGGACAAGGCCATGGGGGTGGGGTGGAGAGAAGGCGGTGGCTGCTCATGGCAGCGGGTGGGAAGGAAGAGGCTGAGAGGTGAGGCTGCCCTGAGAGCTGGTGGGCCCTGACGGCGGGAGGAGGTGCTGCCAGGAGGCGAGGGGCCTCCTAAGAGACCAGTGCAGGGAAGTGACCCATCTGGGATTTGAACCCAGATCTGACTCCACAGCCTGTGGCCTTTCCAAGGCATCCCAGCAGGCCTGACTTCCAGCAGTGGCCTGGGAGATCTTCTTGCCTTGGGCTGTGCTGAGCCCTGCGGGTTTCCTGGGAGCCCGGACCCAACAGTTCAGCCGCTCTTCCCCATGGCCACCCCATCCCGTTCCTTACGGTAAGGACCACTTGAGTCACAGATACCATGTTCAGCTTGCAGTTGAGATACTGAATCCTCTGGCTCAGTTTTTCTTTCCAAGTTCGAACAAGGCCAAGGAGGTCTTCTGTGGTCACTATCTAGAGCGAACATGGAGGAAAAAAGCCACAGGAAGCAGGCTGCGGGCAGGCAGGCTGACTCCATGTGAACTGCAGGAACCGGCTGGCTGGCAAGGACACCTCTTGGCTCCATGGAGGCCCCTCACTTGCAGGGAGGGCCCTGTGGGAGTGGGGAGCCCTGGGCTGGCTCTCTCAGGTGGCTCCACTGCAGCAGTGGATCCTTCCCTGATGGGGCATCGGGAGTTCTATTCCTGGTTCTATGGGTTTGTTCTGGGCAAATGATTTAAGCTTGTTCTACTTAGTCTCCCCATCAGTGTGATGGGGACACAGTATGTTCCTTAGGATCTCTTCTAGTTCTAATGCTCTACGTGTAGAAGGAAATATTTGGCCCAAGATGGCGAGGGCGTGTAGGCGTGAAATGGCCACAGCCTTTCTGGAGGGTGATCTGGCTATCAGATCGAATACGTCAAATACATGACCCCTTAGAGCAACAATCCCACAGACCATACCTTGCAGGGGGCAGGGAAGCACCCGTGAGGATGTTCACCTTCCCCAAGCAGCCCGCACAGCGCTCAGTGGTCCCCACACATTGCTCCCTGAATGGCTCACTGACCTAATGGGTGACCCAGGCCAGGTGGCGCCTTGGCCTCTTCCCACTCCCTTCATTTCCAGTGCACCCTGAATCCCACCCATTCCCCCCCTGCTCAACCCCGGGATTGGAACATGTCCCTGCCGGAGTCTCGAGTGGTGACACTATTCGGTCTTGGCGCTCTGCCTCATTCCTACCTGCCTCCCTGCCTTTCTGCACCCAGCAGCCAGAAGGTCTTCTTTAACGTGGCACTGAGCACACGGCCCTGGGCACACCCTTCCCTGGTCCCCACTGCCTTCACCGAGCACCTGATGCATTGCTTCCGCCTCCTGATGACCACGCGGCAGGTGAGTCCAACCAGTGTCCTCCGCCAACACAGGACCACCCGCCCGCTCAAGCAAATGCTCCCCACCCCATGCCAGGGTCTGTGCAAGCCCCCTGGTACCCTGCCCACTGCCCTGACACATCAGATAGGAAGTGAGGAAATGTGGGAGAGCAAATGCTTCTGCTCTGAAGAGAGACAGTTGTCCCTAAACGGCCTGCTGAAGCGGTCACAGCAGATTAAGCTGGTTTTCCCCTGCTCCCCCCATGTATGTGTAGAAACATCTGCACGAAAACACAAGAGGTTACACGGGACCTCCACTCTGTGCTTTGTGGATGTTCGAACTTTTTTCACCAAGCACATGTAACTATGCAAGAAAAAGCAGTAAAGATAGAAAAATAAATGTCCTCTCAGTGCTAATAACAATAAAACCTCAACTTAGTCACTGAAATGGAAGACAGAACCCCTGGCCAGAACATCTGGTTCTCGAGTGCCTGGCTGAACTGTGGAGAAAAGATTACTTGGAGTGGCCAGGGTGCAGGTGGCACAAGGGACAGAGACATGCACTAGAGGCAGAAAAACAAGCAAGTCAACAATGTAAACACGCAGAGACCCGCTACGCTGGTCAGGGCCTGGCAGGCACCCGGAACCTCGCTTCTCCCAGACTTTGCTCCAATTTGGACTTTTCACAGCTTATACACAGAAAATGGAAGTAACCAATTTATGTGCAATGGTTAAAACAAAAGGAAAATCGAACAAAAGGTGGTTGTTCAGAGGGCAGAGTCCTGCCTCTGTTATTCATCCAGGGCTGCGTTCCAATTACAGGGAGGGAGGCCTGGTGACATCAGAGGGGGAGGGAGGCCAGACTCAAGCCCCTGTGCTCACTGGCCTCAAGATGCCTGCCTGGGAGGTGCTAGGGGCCGGGGGCAATGGCTGGTTTCTCTTCTCATCCTTAATTCCATTGAATAAAACAGGGGTTAAGTAGGAAGGCTCAGAGGCCCCGCTGGTGGTGGAGAAATCTTGACCACAGATGTAAGTTTATTTCCAGTTTACGATTCTGGCCTGATGCATCTTTACTATTCATAACTTAGTATCCACTGAGCACTTACTTTTTCATCTCCCCTTGAGCTTCGGCACATTTGCACCTTGCTTTGAAGCTGTTCCAGAGAAGAATTTAATCCATCTGTTTGCAAATTGGATTTTGCAACCTAGAAAAACCAGAGGTTCTGAGTTTTGTTTCTAGAATACTTATTTTGATCAAGAAAATGTTCCGCAAATCATTATCTGAGAGGTGGATTAAGTACCGAAAAAATGAAATCGGGGGAACAATGCACAGTCATATCAGAAACTCGATCAATGCAAATTTAAAGGACTTTTTTTTACTGTCAAATAGTAAGTTTTAAAAATAAAACTGGTGACCTGCAGTACTGGTTGAGGGCGTTAGGAGGACACACTCATGCCCTATTGGTGAGGGGATGTCTGTACAAGCCACCTGGAAAGTACAAAGAGCCTTAAAACATTCATGCTCTAACCCAGTAATTCCAGCTCTGGGAGGCACCCTATGGACACCATCAAAGTTTCCAGTGCAAGCATGTCTAACACACCATTGTGTATATTATAAGTGAAACCCACCAGATGTTCCTCCAAAAAGGAATAGTTAAGTAAAAATGGCAACACATTAGGGAGACAGAAACCATCAAAGTGATGTTTTTGAAGAAACTTTTCAAGATTATACAGCTTAAAAAATTGTAATAAATAGCACCCTTCCCTTGTCCCCACTGCCCCGACCCTCACTCCAGCACCAGGAGCCCAGCTCACACGGCCCTGCTGACCCGGCCCCCGCTCCAGCCTCATTGCTCCCCACTTTTTCCTGCTCGAGCTCTCTCTCCCCTTGGCTCCAGCTCCCCAGGATTTTTTTCACGATCTCTCCAGGACACTGCTCCCCACCCTCCTGCCTGGCTGGCTCTTCCTTCGCCATCAAGCCTTGGGAAACACCACTTTCCTAGTCCAGGTGAAATCCTCTCCTCTACGTCCCCACGCACCTCACGCAGCCCTCATGGCCTCTGTAGCCCAGAGGGCCTGGCATGTCTAAGGCCTGAATTTCTGGTGTCAGTCAGACCTGGGTTCACATTTTGGCTCCACCATTTAAGAACTCTGTGTTCTTGCCCTAAGTCACTTAATGACTCTCTGCCTCAGTTTCTTTATCTCTAAAATGGGGATAAGAACGGTACTTGCCTCACACAGCTCTTGTGAGGACTCACACAGTTAATCAAAATAAGCCCACTGGCAGGCCGCATGGTGCATAATAACTCAGTGGATGTTAGAAACTATTACGATTTAATCTCTGACTTCCGGGCTGGAGTGCAAGTCCCATGGGGCAGAGACCACAGCAGTATCCCCAGCACCTGGGACAGTGCCTGGCATGCAGGTGTGTGTGATAAACATCAAGGCCCATGGGGCAGATGAAGAATGAATCTGTCCTACCTCGCACTTGATTTTCACTTGCAGATTTGTCAGCAACCGCTGGATTTTCTCTATGAAAATAAGGTCCACAGACAGGTTATGGAATTTACTTTCAAACTTGTTGATGACATCATTAGCCTGAAAGAAAGAGAAAAAGTAAAGGAGTGGGGCTTAATTTGGAACTTTTGGACTTTAGAAGCAGAGGGGGACAGGCTCAGCTAATGGTTGGAAAGGGGGCTTGACCAGCCTATCAGGCAGTGAGCAAGGCAACCACCTTGTAAGCGGGTATGACGGGAGCCTGGCTAGAGGTCGTGGTGGGGCCTGCTCACCTGGTCCAGGTACTCGCTCTCCATCTTCTCCATCTTGATCATGATTAAATTTTCAACAAACTCTATCCGGGCAGCTTCCTTCTCCAGTCGATGACACAGTGAGTCAATTTCTTCAGAAGAAAAGTTGCCTCCCTCTGAGAACAATCTGAAAATAATTTGGGAGAAATAAATCCACTGATCAGACCTGAACCTTTCCACCCAATCCAAATACTGTGGTTGACAAGGCTTTAGATTAAAAGTACAAGACCATGGAAAAACAAATGCAGGTAGCTCAAGGGCAGAAGCAGGGAAACAACCCAAATTTCCATCAAGAGATGAATGGATAAACAAAATGTGGTACATCCACACAATGGAACATTACGGAGCCTTAAGAAGGAATGAAATTCTGACAGATGCTGTGACATGGATGAGCATTGAAGACATCATGCTAAGTGAAAAAAAAAGACACACAAAAGAACAAATCTGGTGTGATTTCACTTCTACGAGGTCCCTAGAGTAGTCAAATTCATAGAGACCGAAAATAGAATGGTGGTTCCCAGGGGCTGGGGGAGGGCGAAATGGACAGTTAGCGTTTAGATTCAATTTGTGAGGGTGAAAATGTGCTGCAGGTGGACGGTGGCGATGGCAGCACGACAGTGTGGATGTACTTAATGCCAGTGGACTGGACGCCTAGACGGTTAAAATGGATCATTTTATGTTACGGATATTTTGTCCCTATTAAAAAACGGAGAGGCCAACAAGACCACCTCTCAACAGAGGAAGCCCAGTGGCCCACAGAGGCCCCAGATGCTGGCTCTCACCTGCAGTGCCTGACAAACTCAACGTTGGTGTAGCGAAGCTTGCCCAGGCTCTCCTCCAGGTACTGGCGGAAGCTGCGCAGGGACAGCTGGACGACGTCGACGTAGCTGAGCAGTTCCCGGTGCAGAGTGCTGCTAAGAGTGACCAGCCTGGGGGACACGGGAGGGCAGGGTGGTGACCTGGGCACGGGCGGTCAGCCTGGAAGGTGGCTTGAGCTCCACATGCCATGCCCAGCTGTGGGGTCACCAGAACCACTGCCTGTCTTCTCTGGGTAGAAAAAGAGGCCTTAGAAGGAAATTCACGATGCCAGTGCATGTGGGGCTCTCAGTGAGCTGGACCAGAGGGCAGCCCCTGCCACCAGATTGCTAAGAGAATCCCCAGGTCCTACTGGCTCCGCCCCCTCCTCCCTCCACCCGCTCTAACTCACAGGCACCTCACCTCAAACCCCTGAGGGGCCTCCTGGGACCCCTCACTCTGCCCTGAGAGCAGGGCATCCCCACCTCGAGCCGGGCCAGTGCTCCTCTCCGCCGGGGGAACCCTGCCCCCTCCCCACCTTTCTCCATCCCAGGCCCGAGGGCCTCCTGCAGGGAGCTCTTCCTGACTTCCCCTGATAGGAGCGGCCCTTCCCACCATGGACGTTTCAGGGCACATCGTCCGCACCCCTGCACTCTGACCACGGGCACCCTTTTCTCTCTTTGGCTGCTCCCCCCACCCCAGCGCCCAGCTCCCCGCCAGATGCTTCACACAGCTGCACCCTTGCGAAGAGGTGAAAACCCTTCTGGAAACCCTGACCCTTCTATTACCCACAAGGGGTGGGGTAACCACTCCTCTGAGAACAGCCACCTGGTGGGGATTCTAGGGCCACGAGGCTGCAGCTGAGACCCCCAGTGCCCTTACTTCTGGCTCTTGGTGGCGTTCAAGAAGATGTGCTCCATGTCGTAAATCTTGCGCTGGAAGTCTTTGCTCCTCATGTTCTGCTCCTCTTGGAACTGACAGAACATCCTCCTCTCCTTCCTCAGCGTCTCCATCACCCCCGCACAGTGGCTGTCCAGCCGCTCTTGGTGAAGCAAGAGTTCGGCTGGAAAAGGACAAGGGGAGATGAGGCCCTCCAGGATCTCAAGCCAACTCAGGACAGCGCTTTCCTGGACAGTGATGTGCCTCTCCCAGGCCAGCTACAGAGCAGGGACCTTTCAGGCCAAAGTCCCTTATCCTGTCCCCACTGCCCTCCCCAGGGCCTGGCCTGGGAATGGACACAGATCTCAGGGAGGCCAATATGAGACAGCCCTGGGTCTTTAACTGGAGAGGAGGATCTGGCCGGCTGTGATCAGCGAGGTGCCTGCAGTGGAGATACCCTGCCTGCAGCAGAAGGGAACAAAGCCTGGGAGACGGACAGCACCTCCCACCCCAGGAGCAGGTGGGATGGGTGTTGGGGAGGGCAGGGATCTCAATGCGAAGGCCTGGGAGAAAAGAGCCAGCACAAAGCTGGGCAGTTGGCATGTGTCCCTTTATATCAGTGGCTTCTCATTTCCAATGAGCCTCAGTTACAATGGACTTCAAGAGCTCCATCAGAGGCCTTTAGAGTTAGCAGAGAGTCCCAGCTCATTTCATCTCACCTCCTACTGCCTGGAGTGGAGGAAGTGCTATGGTCTCAGCTCTGCCAAAAACAAATGGTGGGATTCTGGGGCTTTGCTTCTCCAGCCTCGTTTTTCACATTATGCACTGGCCCAGGAGCCAGGGAAGGGGAAGAAAACCAGCCTTCAGGGAGCATCTTTGTTTATACTTATAATTAATGCACACATTTCCCATATGAGGACAACGGGGTTCCAAAAGTGAAGCTGGTCTCCCAAGGCCACAAGCATTGGGCCTCTGGAGTCCACACTCTTTCGCTGCTCCAGGCAGTAGGAGGTTGGGTGGGGTCACGTGGAGGCTCTCTGGAAGCTTTCAGGGTCAATAATGGAGCTTAAAGTGTGACTCGAGTAAAAACCTGACAGGAGCCGTTGAAGGGTCCAAATAAAAGTGCCCTCCCTCTGATTAATGGAGCCCTCTGCCTTAGAGAGAAATGGCATGTCTTTTTAAGTGTTAAAAATTATAAGCTGAAAATAATGGCTACCACTTTTGGAGGTTCTGGCTTATGCTAGATGCTCATGATTCCTCACTGTACCATTTCAAGGAGAATTAATTACCACCAACAGCATGCCTTCTGCAGGTTAGGAAGGGATCAGAGAGGTCAGGTAACCTGCCCAGAATCCCACAGCTAGACAGGTTGAACCTGTTAGCTCTGATTCCTGAACTAGAGGCTTGCCTCTAGGGTATCTGCCATGCAGGTGTGTGTCTGACAGGTGTGTGAGCATATCTGGGATCCACAAAGCTAAAATAGGACAATACTCTTCATTTCAGCATCTAACACCTTCTTTAAAAAAAACCTTAAATGAGGATTCTGAGTACAACCTTCTCTGCCAACCTGGGAGGTACGAACCCTCACGCACATCTTCCAGCGTGTGATGACAACATGCTAAGCATTGCGTGGTACAAGCTGCTAATGAATGTAGGGCTGCAACGGCACAGACACCGGGGGTCTGCAGTACCTGCCCTGACGTTGTGGATGTCCTTTTCAATGAGCTGGGCTCTTGGCTGGTGCAGGTGCAGACGCAGCTCCAGTTCTGAATCCAGCTCATTAATCTTGGTGGCCACGATGACCCGGGCATTGAGGGCACATTGGTCAAACCACTTCTCTAAGTGCTCAAAAAAGCCAGCTCGAAGCCTAAGGGAGAGACCAGCGAGGGTCAGCAATTGTGACCAGGGAGATATCTTTCCACACCGATGCTTAAAGTGTTTCCCCCTTCTACTCCTTCTTCCTTATTTTATTTCCCACTACACTGTATCTCTTTGTTTGGGTGGACAATCATTCATTTAGCCAGACCCCCTGTTGAAGGACATTGGATGGTTTCCAACCATTTGTTCTTACAAAGAAGACTGCAATGAATAACCTCGTACATATGTCAAGTGTAGAACAATTTCTATAGGAGTAAATTCCCTGAAAGGGAACTACTGAATCAAAGCCTGAAATACATTTGTGGATCTGGTAGATACAGCCAAACTGCTTCTGTTGCAAGGCAACTTGAACTCCCATCAACAATGAATAAAAGTTCCTATTTATCCATAGCTTCAGAATGTATTGTCAAACTCTTGAATTTGACAATTGTCTCATATTATGACTGAGATTGAGCATATTTTCATGTGTTTAAGACTATTAAATTTCTTTTTCTGTGTACTATCCATTAATATCTTTTGTCCATCATTCTAGTGTGTAGTTGTCTTTTTTCTTATTAATTTCTAGAATCTCTTTATGTATTGGGAACATGAGGTCCTTTGACTGAGATGTGAGTTGCAAATATTCTTCCCAGTTTATTATCTCATCCCGTTAAAATGTAGAGTGATCTTCTTGGCTATATATTGTTAAGATGTTGGTTCTCTCCAAATGTATCTACACATCCAATACAATAACAATTAAAAGCTCGGCAAATGTCTTCTTTCGGAAACTGATGAGCTGATTTCAAACTTATATAGAAATACAAAGGGCCAAGGAGAGTCAAAACAATCTTGGAGGACGTCAAGGTTGGAGGACTTACACCACCAGATAATAAGACTTAATATAAAGCTACAGTAATCAATCGGGGGAGGTGGTGATGCGAGGCCTGGCAGAGCCGTGGAGAGAGGAGAGTCTTCTCAAATGGCCTGGGGTCAACTGGTTATCCATATGGGAAAGAAATGAATCTGACTTTTACCTCATACATAAACAAAAATCAATTCCAGTTGAATTGTACATCTAACTATGAAAGTTTAAAACTATAACATTTATGGTAGATAACACAGGAGAATATTTTCATGACCTTGAGGCAAGCAAAGATATCTTAGATAAGACAGAAATTACCCTAACCCTAGTGAAAAAAACTGATGACTAGGACCTTATTAAAAGGATTTCTGTTCATCAAAAGATACCTTTAAGAGAGCAAAACAGGCAAGCACAGTGAGCGGGATGAACATTTGCCATGTATTTAACTAATAAAAAACTCATATCTGAGATCAATAACTCACATAAATTAATAAGAAATAAGATAGGCAATCCACCAGAAAAAAAATGGGCAAAAAATTTGGCTAGGCATTTCACAGAAAGATTACTAAACGGCCAATAAGTATATGACAAGGTACACAGCATTGTTACTCATCAGGAAAATGCTAATTAAAACCACAATGGAACACCACTACACATACACCAGAATGGTTAAAATAAAAACTACTGACAAACCAAGTGAGGATGTGGAGCAACTGGAACTCTCATACACTGCTGTAAACTGTTAAAACAAACCCACTTTTGAAACCTCTTTGGCAGTACCTTTTGGTTGTATCTCCTCTGAGACAGATGGACACACATATAAGTCAATTTCCCAACAATTCCACTCTTAGTTATATAGGTAACAGAAATGTATACACATGTTCACCAAAAGAAGCCGGATATAAAAGAGTACATTCCATGGGATTCCATTTAAGTAAGTTCAAAAACAAGTAAAACTAATTCAGAAGTTAGAATATTTGTTATCCTTGGGTAAGGGAGGGCAGTGACGTGAGATGGGTACATGAAGGAGGTTGGTAGTGCTGTCTTTCCTGTGGGTACTGATTACTGGGTGTGTTCCCTTTGGGTAATTAATTGAGCTATATGCTCATAATTTCCATACTTTTCGGTATGTATCCTATGCTTCAACATTCAAATCCAATCCGTTGAACACAGAACTACTTTTTTGGTTGGTCCCAAGGCCAGATGGCATAGTGTTTGGTTCAAGACTCTGGAATTACAGGGTCTAGGTTCATATCCTGGATTTAACTACTTCCTATCTCAGAGATCTTGTTGAAGTTATAAATTCTGAGCTTCAGTTTCTAGAATCACCTGTAAAATGAGCTAATTACAGTACCCCTCTCTTACTTATTGAGAGTATTAAACTTTCTCAATAAATATTAGCTCCGATGGTGGTCCTTGCTTTTCTTCATTCCCTGGTCTATGGAGAGGGCAGACAATGGCCTGTGACAGAGGAAGGAGGAGGATGAGGTTCAAGTCAGAAGACATTTTCAAGGTGAGATGATGCTGAGGTGAAGGAGAATAGAGTCCAAAGGCCTGACTTTACTCCTTCTACTCCCTGCCTCTGGTCTCCTGTCCATGTGTAAACATGGGAGGTAGACTAACCAGGTGATCTCTAGCTGGTTAGTCCTAGCTATGACACTGTAGTATCAGGAGGGCAATGCAAATGCTATCCAAGAGCCAAATGCAAATTTTCACATTTGTTCCAATTTCAAACATAAAGGACCAGAAAGAAATTTGGGAGTTAGGGGCAGTAGATATTCAGTGGTAAAATTATTCTGTATTCTTCATTGTACTTTTTTCAATTTTCTACATTAAATGTGTCACATAACCAGAGCAAAATACCATACTGATATACTCATAACTATGGTCTATATCTATATAATTTTCCTAAAAAAGAAAAGAAAAGGAACTCTAATATTAACAGACATGCCAGGATCTAGAACCCAGAAACACCTTCTAGGGAAAACCCTGTTTCCTCTGTATTGATACAAGGCCCAGGCCAGCAAGTCATCCTGGGACAGGCAGAGGGCTCTCTCTCACAGAGGATATCTGTGACTGCGAAAAATCCCTGGACATCTGCTACTTTGTGTTGTGTTTCTCATGTCTACCCTCAGTTACCTACGTGTTTTCTTTTCCAAAACGAGTCCAATCTTCCATTATATTATTTCACCTTGTTAATAAAACTCAAGGAGAATGAGAATAAAAGGGTTTTTTACTCACTGTTTCTTAATTTCTAAAACTAGTCTGGATGGAATGATCATTTGTTCTAGGACCTTGGCACTGGAAGTGTCATTGAAGAGAATGGCAGAAAGGTTGGAATGGGGCCTCTTGCTACTCTCTTCTTGTTCCAGGGGCAGGAAGACAAAGTAAGTGTTCCCACTGGGCGTTGTGAAGGACTCCATTTCCTCATGGGAGACCGCTCCCAGACTCTCTTCCTGGGCTCTGACCTAAGCAGAAAACAAGACTTTAGATTTGCCATCATCAAACAGACTTGGTGATCCCTACCACAGGTTCCGTGACATCAGCGGTTGTAAACCTGTGGGACAAATCTTGCCTATGATTGCTTTTTGCCCATACAGTGCCTTTTAAAATTGGGAAATTCCACCTAAAAATCTGGATTTCTGATTTCTTTTTAAAATCAGAAAATCTGGAAATTCTGAGCCTACATTCCCACAGGGCATTGTTGGCTGGAACTGAATAATGGCTGCATGGTTGCCATCGACTGAACGTTGATGTCCCTCCAAAATTCATATCCCCAGTGTGTTGGTAATTGCAGGTGGGCATTGGGAGGTTATTAGGTCATGTAGGCAGAGCCGCCCCTCATGAATGGGGTTAGTGCCCTTATAAAAGAGATCTCAGAGAGCTCTTGCCCCTTCCACCATGTAAGGACACAGAAAGAAGGCAGCCGCTTGTGAACCAAGGAGTAGGCCCTCACCAGACACTGAAGCTGCCAGCGCCTGGATCTTGAATTCCCAGCCTCCAGAACCGTGAGAAATAAATGTCTGTTGTTTATAAGCCACCCAGTCTGTGGTGTTCTGTTAGCGCAGCCTGAGAGGACTAAGACAGTAGTCTCTCTCATGTGTCACTGTTTTACACTTGGTGTCCAGCCCTCTTTTCTATTGCATGCCTGTGGGCATTTGAGTTTGGGGTCCCTGTTCAAAAAGAGGCCTCATATGCCAATTCTTCCACAGCAATATAGGAAAAGAGTCTTTTGCAATTTCATGATTATGGAATTCAAATTACTGTTCTGTGAGTTTGAATGTGTTTTGAGGACAAGATTTATTTATTTATTTATTTATTTATTTATTATTTTTGTGTGTGTGTGGTATGTGGGCCTCTCACTGTTGTGGCCTCTCCCGTTGCGGAGCACAGGCTCCGGACACGCAGGCTCAGCGGCCATGGCTCACGGGCCCAGCCGCTCCACGGCACATGGGATCTTCCTGGACCGGGGCACGAACCCGTGTCCCCTGCATCGGCAGACGGACTCTCAACCACTGTGCCACCAGGGAAGCCCGACAAGATTTATTAATATGAGAGTTACTTCCCTGCACTCTAAGGGGAGCTATCTGCCAACTTGGATATGGATCTTTTTTCTTACATAAGCAGAGAATGGGAAGAGAGAAGGAATGGAGGGGCTAAGTTGGTCTACACAACAAAGAGGAGCTGGGAAAGAGGGAGGACTAAGGAGGGATGAGGAAAGTTGAGGGGTGACTTCAGAGTAGGTTGCAAGATGGGATGTGAGGAGAGGAAGGTGAATTTTAAAAAGCATTGCTGGGGGCTTCCCTGGTGGCGCAGTGGTTGAGAGTCCGCCTGCTGATGCAGGGGACACGGGTTCGTGCCCCGGTCCGGGAAGATCCCACATGCCGCGGAGCGGCTGGGCCCGTGAGCCATGGCCACTGAGCCTGCACGTCCGGAGCCTGTGCTCCGCAACAGGAGAGGCCACAACAGTGAGAGGCCCACGTACCGCAAAAAAATAAAAAAGCATTGCTGTGAGATAAGAATTGGATCCCCGCTGACAAAAATAAAAGGTGTGCATACATTTGTTATTCTCTATATGTACCCCAGTGGAGACTGCGCCACTGGGGACCCCAGCTTGTCTTAGGGACACACGGAGTGAACACAGCACACCTTCCATACCCGAGTGAATCCGCTGCTGGCCTACCTCATCCACAGATGAACTCTCACGCTCTTCCTCTTCTTCCTCCTCTTCCTCCCTCTCCTCCTCCACCTTTTCCTTTTTCTCCTCCTCTTCTTCTTCATGAACCATCATGTTTGCCTGGTTCGGGGGTGATTTTAAGGAGCTGTCTCTTTCAACCTGCATTTCTTCTAATCCCGGAATAGAGTCCCCTCTGGACTCATCCATCTCTTCACTCAGTACAGACTTTTCCTGTGGGCTTACTACCACCTCTTGAGTGGTGGGGGACTCGATTTCTTGATCTTCTACTTCTTCTATCTCTTCCACTGGCCTGAGGGAACTCATTCCCCTACTTAAGCATTCCTCACCTTTGCTCGCATCTGCTTTAGGCCTTTGTTTTCCCCTCAGTTTTCTCCTTCTCTCCTGGAATTGCTTTTCATGTGGTTCTGTTGATGACCAAGCCCAAAGCCCAGGAAGAGACAGGTTACCAATGCAGCCTGATTGGGCCTCCCCAGACCCCAGATATACAAGCGTGGAGTCGGGGAGACTCAGACTTGAATTGTAAAAGTGTTACCTGGTGCCCTCAGTCGGAAAATGACTTCACCCTCCAGGTTCTACAAAGCAAAAACACGGACACTGAATGAGCAGAGTGCCACTTCTGAGGGCGTATCTTTTCTTTTAAGGAAAAGGCCCCGCCCCTCCCCTTCTACATCTGATGCAGGCCTTGACCACTTATTTCACAGGGGTAATCAGGGTGTTCCCAATCAGTTTTCCTTAATCCCAAGCAGGCTAGCAAAGCTTTCATCACACAATGGCAATCACAGAATAAAATCTCATTCTGACATATTTTTAGTAGTGATCTGGAGCAAAAAGCAAGAAAGTATAAATGGAGGGATGCAAACAAAGGGGCAGGAATCTGCTACACCCAGTGCTGGATGCAAACATACAGAATGAACATGATTTACAAGATCTGGGAGCCCCCTCGCCAACACTACAAATTCCCTCTGTCACAGGCTGTGGGTGAAGTTGTGGATATAGTGTGCCATGGATAAGAGTGGATCTGAATTCCAGCTCCTCACAAGCTGGATGACCTTGGGCAAGTCCCTTAAACCCTACGGGCTCAGTGTCCTCCCTGTGACACGGAGACCACAGTAGCACCTACACTTTAACCCAGGCAACCAGACTGATCTCAAAGGTAGTGAGCTTCCCCACCGACAGCTTGAGTTCCACCTCAAGCCAGGTGCCCCACGAAGCATTCACGAGCAATTGGGACAGGGATCCCTGCTGAGGGGAGGGATTCTCTGAGGAGTCAGGAACCCCACACCTACAGGAAACCCTCACCAAGTTCAGTGTCAGCCACAAGTATCTTCAGCCCTGGCCGTGCAGGACTCTGGGTGCGTGTGTGGGAAAGAGCCAACTCTGGGAGAGTCAGACCAGGACACTCAGGGCATTCGTGCGTTTACCAGGGAGCACTCAGTGTGTCTGAATTATGTGCAGGACACTGCTGAGGGCAGTGGAAGCTGGACGAAAGTTAGGAGGGCACACCTGCCCCTCAGAAAACCCCTTCCAGTAGGATGCCCTGAACTCCTGCATTTGACAGCGACCAACGTACAAGCACGTTCAGGGAAAGGAGAGGTGACGGGGTGAGGAAAGGGAGATGAGGGTCAGAGTGAGTGGGGGGGATCCTGTCACTGGCAGTGGCTGGAAGTATGGGTGGGTTTGGGGTGTGTGGAAACAGAAGGGTCCCAGCAGAGGAGCAGGGTGAGGAAGGGCAGGGGGCAGTGGCAGATGTAGGAAGAGTGAGGAGTTTGCTGAAGCAGGGAGAGTCAGGGCGGGAACCGGGTGCGGTGGGGGTGGGGCTCTGAGGTCATCTAGGGACTGTGGGCTGGGTTTGGTAGGGGCTGCAGAGCTGGTGAGGGCCTTTTGAGCAGGAGAGTGGGTACATCAGAGCTGTATTTTAGGAGGGTTATGCAGCAGTGGTGAGTTGGGTGAATGGAACTCAAAGAGTCACATAAATTAGCCTTTTGATTGTAATTCCATTCAAGCCTGAGCCCTTCAACCTCTTTTAATCTGAGAAGAGATGGTCTCTTTAGGAGACGCTTTTAGCTTCTCACTCCTTGATGTCCTGACATAGATTCTAACTCCCCACAGTCCAGAGAGGCATTCAAAATTGAGGCAAATAAGACCTAGACGTCATCCTCTCCCCACTGCTCCTTGGTGAGCAGCTGGGATTTTTTGTATCCCTTTCCATACCTGCTCAAAGATTTCACGAACACAGAAGTGTTGGCTGAGGGTGGAGCTGTAGGAGTTGAGTTCCTTCAGTAGGATCGCTGGGTACTCCATCACTTCCTTTGTCAGGAGGCCATGAGAACTCTCACACCTGGGAGGCAGGGAGGTGAGACCCCTGTCTAAGGGGGGTCAGCTGGGTGTGAGAGACCCCAGCCAAGAGCCATGCCTGGGACCACACGGAGGGGGGCTTGTATCTGGCGTTTAGCTCTGCGCAGAGCTACTGCGTAGGTTTCCTTTTACAATAACAGTCTTTGGTTTGTTTTGCTATTTTTCTGATCATACAAAGAATACATACTCTTTGTAGAACATTTAGGAAACACATGCGAGAGAGTTCTCTGCATGTTGTAACATGGGTTCCCACTTCCTGTCTACTGTACTAACCCTGCCCTTGAACTTTGCCTGTATCACCCCATCAAGCACTCCAAAACCCCAAGGCCCAGATTCTATCTGTTCCCTGGGGAAGAGGACCAAGGTTCAGGGCGTTACTTATTTGCTTTAAAACGTACTTCTGAATCTAAGTACTGCAGTCGACTGGCAGTGCAGTTCCATTTCTGTGAACAGTCCTTAGAGAATTAGCTGTACAAAGGCACCAAGGTACAAGATAGTTCACAGGGAACTGTTTTTAATATTGAGAGATTGGCACCAGTCTTAAAAAGCTAATCAGTTGGAGGATGGCTAATTCATTATGAAGCATCCATATTAATGAGTGGATGGTCATTTAAAAATGAAAAAAATCTGCAGTTATAGAACAATTCTTATTTTAAAAACACTGTATGTGTATATACATATCCACATTTATAAATGTCCGTGTTCACAAAAAGGACGAGTTGGGCAGAAGTTAGGAGAATTTCCTACATGTTTGTATTTGTTAACTTTTTTTCTTTAACAAAGCACGTATGTTTTAAAAGTCAAGAAGGTGGGGGGAGGGTCCATGCTCTTGACCTTTAAACTCCATGGCATAGAAACCTCCCTCCATAAACTTTTCTGATCCAAGTTCTCCCTGAAACCTTTTGTGTTGGCTGAGGGTAGAGCTGCAAAGAACCACAGTGATCTCTGATGTTGGAGACATCATTGGGTTGGGCTCCTAGGCAGGCACCTTCTGATCCTGAATATGAATTCCAGGCCATCCCCTTCTGGCGTCCGGTCTGCCTACCTGCATTTCATATTCTTCAGAAAATCTTTGGCCTTTTCCAGGTGTAACCTCAGGGTATTCTCACAGCTTTGCTGCCTCAGTTGGTCCAAGAGCTTATCGAGGTGAGCCTCCTGGGCCTGGTAGCCACACCCCAAACAGAAGGAAGCAGATGTGAGTCACCAGAGCGCGACGAGTGTACGCGACACGCAGAGACCCTGCCCCTGGAGCTGAGGTCCCGGTGCCCCGGGCAGGCTCTTTTCTACGAAAGGGGCACCAAATGTACCACCATCCTTACTCTCGCTGCTCTGGGCCTTTGGGCTCTTCTCCCTGCCTGGAATGTTCTTCTCTGTCTACGTTATAGCCCTGGAGACCCTGCCTAGACGGGACTCCTCAGGGACAGGTCCCTCAGCCCCAGCCCGCCCGGGCAGGCCCCCGCTACACCTTCCGGAGGCACCTACTCCCTGCTCTCCTCACCTTTTGTGCTCGACGCCAGATGCTGAGTGCACCCCTCCACCCCTAGACTGTGTGAAGGCAGGTGGGTGGGGGCCAGCTCATGTCCTGTGGGGACAGGATGACGGCCAGAGGCAGATGCTCCGTGCCCCGCAGTCTGTCTGTCTCTCATGCAGACCCCCTCACAGACATGTCTGGATCCGGCACCCATCGCACAACCCGGACCTGACTCTGGCAGGATTCTTCTGCTCCCATGCAGCCCCGTGACCAAGGTGAGCCTCAGTTTCCTATCTGCTCAAGTTTTATAGCCTGAGGCTTTACATTTGAGTCTAAGATACATTTGGGGTTAATTTTTCCATAAAAATAAAATACATAAAATATGGTGTGAAGTATAGATTGAACTCTTCTTTGCTTTGCATCTGAACGCTGGCTGAGTTCACGGGCCACCAAGCAGAGCCACTGGGTAGCTGACAATCCGGGTGTGGCCCTGCGCTCATGCCTCGTGGGGGCTACCTGGATGCCGGGCCCACACCTGGCTCTCGCAGCTGTGCTTCTGCCGCTGCTGCTCCATCCTCTTCTCGAGCTCCAGCTCCTGCATCAACAGCATGCTCCGATGTACCTCCCACAGCTGCACAGCCTCCTGGAAATAGCTGAAGAGATCTGAGTTCTGCCGCTCTGTCTGCTTCGCCACGGCCTCGAAGGATTTCTGCGGTGGCAGAACCCAGAGAAGGGGCCTTAAGTGCCAATCGGCCCAGGCTGAGGAGAAGAGCCCCACTCACGAGGCTCCCTCGCCGGCCAGTGGAGGCCCATGTCACTGGCCGTCACTGCCTGGGCACCATCTCTCAAGGTTTTCTTCTGTGCCACATCGTGGCTCACGGTCCCCTCTCTGTTGGGACAGCATTTCTGGTCTGTCCAAGGCCATGCCCTCGGACTGGTTGACCTGAAGTCCTATCTCTAGACCTTCCCCGTGTCCACTGAAGTCCCTGACAGGAAGAAGGTGGAGTTTGGGGCCTACAAAGAAGAAGATGCCACCCTAGACACCAGCCTGGCATCAGGTGGGCCATAACCACCTTGGCCTGGGGCATCCCTCCTTCTTTGGATTCCCTGACTCAGCACCTGAGCCAAACACCACAGTCTACTGTTAAATCCTCACCTCTCCCTCTTTCATGTGTGTCTCTTATACTCTCCTAGGGCCTGGGGTTGGCAAACTGTGGCCCGTGAGCTAAATATAGCCCCCTGCCTATTTCTGTTTAACCTTGGGAGCTAAGCACAGATTTTACATTTTTTAATGGCTGAATAAAACCTAAAGAAGATATTTAATGATGTAAAAATTATATGAAATTCAAATTTCAGTGTCCATAAATAAAGTTTTATTGAAACACAGCCATACCCACTCATTTCTGCATTGCATAGGGCTGCTTCTGTGTGACAGCAGCAGAGCGAGAATTTGTGCCAGAAACCTGACAGCCCACAGAGCCTAAAATATTTACTATCTGGCCCTTCACAGAAAACGTTTGCTGACCCCCGCTCTAGACTCTAAGCATCATGGGATGCAGGCTTACTGCTCCTCGTGACCTTCAGCACCCAGACTCGGCCAGGGCTCGGGGAGCACTCACTGCCCGAGACTGTTCAATCGGAGTCTGCGGGTGACTGAGGCATCAAGGGGTGAGCCTGGAGCACCCGGCACAGGGGCACTGCTCCGAGGGGCTGCACGCACCAGTGACGGCAAAGTTGTAAGCCCCCGGGCTCCCACTCCTCTCACAGCCCAGCACGCCGGGTGCCCCCCACCCTGCTCCCCAGCTGCACAGGTCCCCAGTTACGCACATCCAAGGCCTCCAGCTCCTCCTCCGCCTTGCTCTGGAGATTTCCCACCATCTGGAAGAAGGACGGGCTCACCAGGCTCTCTGCTTCCTCCTCAGTGAAGGCCTTCCAGTCCAGCAGCTGCTTCTGGAGAGGTACAAGGCAGAGCCTGGCTTAGGGCTGATGGGGGCTTCACCTCAGGGCTGGTGCTGCCCCTGAGATCACCTCCCAGCCATGCCCGAGAACTCGGCGGAAACTCCCACAGCAGTGGAGACGGTCCAGCTTTATCTGCCCACTGTGTCCAGGTGCTATGTGCTGCCCCTGTTCACCGAATCCCCCAGAGGTGTTCTCATTAGCCCCGTCTGGCAGACAGGAAACCAAAGCTCACAGAAGTGAAGGAACTTGCTGGAGGTCACACACCTGGCAAGTGGTGGAACTGGGATCTGAACTCAGAACCGTCCTACTGCACACCCTACAGGCATCAGCCGTCATCCTGCACGGCCTCAGCGTTGCTGTAAGCCAGACACGGCTCCCATTTCCTGTCTGGAATTATGCCAACTGGAAAGCCAGCTCTCTATATTAATAAAGACTTGATTTATGTGCAAAATCTAGAATAAATCAACCTCCCCCAAACTAAAAACGTGTCTCCAGTGGTATACTTCCAATGCCGCTGCCCAGGAACACCAGGCGCCCCCTGTCAGGCTCAGAGTGCTCTTGGGGTACATGAGGACGTCAGCATTCACCCCCTGCATGCACCCAACCAGGGGCCATGAGCATGGGTACAAGGCGTCAGCACTCAGGGTCACAGGGCCATGGGGCTCTGGGGAGGGCGTGAGTGCCGAGGTGGTGAGCGCTGGGGGTGTGGTCTTGGGGAGGCTCTCCAAGGGCACAAGGTTTCCCTCCAGGCTTTACTCCTAAAGTCTGACGCCCCTAAAGGGCTGACTGAGAGGCACGTGACTGCCCCTAAGGCCACAGAGCAAGTGGGCAGGGCCCTGTGGGCTCGGACAGCCCCTGGGCCTTTTGCAAACTGGTCTTCTCACCTCCAGATGGGGCCAGCGACACCCACTCTGCAGGGCCTTGTAGGATTCGATGAGAGTGGGTGCAAGACTGTGGCACAGCCCCCAGAGGCCACAGCGCCCACACCGTGCATCGCACTGGAGAGCGCTCTGCTCCCCTGAACGCTGCTCACCTCAGAGTCTTGGTGGCAGAGCCAAAGCTCGACAGACACACACAGGAGGGGTGGATGGAGGAACAGGCGCTTCCTGGGGCCCACAGGTGAGACCCTCATGGCTGGGGGACTCCTACCGCTGGAGCCGGCAGATTATACCATCTTCAAAATGATTAGGCTTTTGGGGGTTTTTCATCTAAACGGTTTTCCCAAGGAGGCAGGGAGGGGGCATTCTGACACAGTATGTCCTTGCACCTCAGAAAACCAGGCACTGTAATTGAAGGGTTGTGAGAGGACTCGCTGTCTCACCCTCTAACAGAGGTGGGCGGGTGGAGTGAAGTTGTGTGTGATGCCAGTAGCAACGCTATCTACAAAAGGGAAGCATTGGAAATAACTCCCATGACATGACCTCCACTGAATAAATAAAGTGAAGTGATACAGAGGGTCAAGGGTGAAGGCTGAGGTGATCAGAGGGGGAAACTTTGTCCGTGGGGTCAGGGAAGGCTTCCTGGAGGAGGTCATGTTGGGGGCCACTGAGGGGTGGGTGGGAACAGCTGGGGAGAAGAGGGTCCAGGCTGAGGGAACAGCTTCAGAATGCCCAGAGGCCAGCGTGGAGGGAAAGCAGGGGGTGTGGGCTGGAGAGGGGCAGGGGCATGCCCTGTACTCCTCAGACGGGCCAGGAGGGGCACCCACCTTGCACTTCTGCACTTGGGCCAGGCACTCCTCCCAGGTCTTCTCATACTGCAAGCGGATCCGCATCATGCAGTCCACGTGGTAGGCGTCTCCATAGGTGGAAAAAAGACGTCAGCAGCTCTTCCAGAAGAAGAGGGGAGGTTGGCAAGAGGAGTTTCCCCGTCGCTCAGGGCAGAGGCTTCTCCCCAGCCAAGTGCCTCAACAGCGGGGATAATTTAGACCAGGGGCTGCTATCTCCCTCGCCTCAAAGTTCCTGACACCCCAAGATAAGGACCTCAAATGAGGAGCCACCTTTTTCTGTTCTGACCCTAATTCTTGACTCAGTTTCGAGGCTGGTGAAATTCTTTTGGGGGTTGCACCACGTCACAGAACAGTAACCAGGTGCAAATTAAGGAGCGTTTACAGATCATGTCTGTGGTGAACCCCTTAAGAAGTGAATGGACCAGCGGAACATTCCAAAGCTGATGGATTGATTCATTGATTGATTGATCTTCTCCTCTTCCTCTGCCCTACTGTTTCTGGTTTATAGTCACCTCGGTGTATCTCTTGGTGTCTAAGGTAAGGAACTGAAGTTTAATGTTCCTGGCAGTTCTAGAAACTGAAAGATAACACAAAGATTGTGTGGTGGTTGTTCCTTGACAAGGGCTGGGAGGAGGGCAGGCTGGATGGCAGTTAGAAGACTGGGGAGGGGAGGGCTTCCCTGGTGGCGCAGTGGTTGAGAGTCCGCCTGCCGATGCAGGGGACACGGGTTCGTGCCCTGGTCCGGGAGGATCCCACATGCCGCGGAGCGGCTGGGCCCGTGAGCCATGACCGCTGAGCCTGCGCGTCCAGAGCCTGTGCTCCGCAACAGGAGAGGCCACGACAGTGAGAGACCCGCGTACCGAAAAAAAAAAAAAAAACAACACTGGGGAGGGTAGATGTGTAGTGGAACTGGTGAGGAGAGGCCATAAAGCTGGTTTCTCCCATCCCCAGGGCCGCTGCCTAGGCCAGCACACCTCCACCCTTCCTATGAAGTCACTATGATGAAGCTCCGCCCCGGGTCTCTGTGCTTCCGTTCCTGTACTCCTCTGATCCGTTCCCCGCTCTAACCTTATCACTCCCAGCTCAGAACCTTCCACTGGGTTCCCACTGCCTTCAGGATAAAGTTCAGCCTTCCGCACATGGCCACATGGCCAGCACAGTCTAGCCCTCTGGCATCTTCCAGCCTCGCCTGCCACCTTCTCCTTTCCCTGAAGGCCCCAGCTCTGTCTGACCTCTCAGCCTCCCCACGTACTAGTCTTCCGGCTTAGAAAGCTCCCCTGACCCCTGGGCCTGGCTACCTTGTACTTGCCTTGCAGGTCTCAACTGGATGATCACTTCCTTGGCAAGGTGTCTTATAACCTTTAACCAGGCTGTGCCCCCAAATACACATTCATGTAGCTGGCCACCTGTCCACTCCCTGCTGTAACATCCTGCGTGGTCTGACTTCCGCTCTGGACTGGAAGCACTCAAGAGAGATCCACCCTGCTGGTTACCAGGGCCCAGCACCACACTTGCTCCTAGGAGGCGTCCAGTGAATGGCAGCCATTGCTATTATTTACGGTCTCGGGACTCTTATGCTCGGTATTATAATATAATTATAATACCTTTGGAATTATATTATAATACCTTTGGAATTATAAACCCGAGAGGCCTGGGAGCAGTGGTGGGTACTACTAACCAAAGCACCCAGGTCAAGTCTGGCTGTGACACTTCCTTAGCTGTGTGACCTTGGGCAGGACACTTCACCTCTCTGTGCCTCTGAATCCTTCTCTATCACAGAGGGGCAATGACACCACTGACCTCACTGGGTTGCCTCAGAGGAGATTGAAATACTGTATTGAATATATCTTCTAGAGCAAGACTTGGCAAACTCTGCTAGACAGTAATATTTCCAGCTTTGAGAGCCACACAGTCTCTGCGGCAACCACTCATTTCTGCTGTCATAGAGCAGATGCAGCCAGAGACAGTATGTAAACAAATGAGTGGAGCTGTGTCCCAATGACCCTTATTTACTAACGGGCAGTGGCCCGTGGGCTGGAGTTTGAGGACCCTGGTTATAGAGAATTTCTAAACGTTACTAGTTATTCTTGAGCACTGAGTAAGCCAGCCACTGAACTATGACTGGACTGCAGGATTGCACGTGATTCTTACATCAACCCCACAAGGTAGGTACCTTTATTACTCCTCTTGAGATTCCTATTTTATGGAGGAGGAATTGGAGGCCAAGAGAGGCCATGACTTCCCCTAGGTCCCAGAGTGGGGACAGTGCACCTCATACATCCAGGGTCTGGCCCCTGAGCCGTCCTCACAGGTGGTCCTTGGAGCCATCCCTCTGGCTCCACGCTGTGGTCAGGGGTCAGAGGGTGGCACCAGCTGGGAAGTAACTTGGGAGGTGGTGGGAGGAGGAGGGGCTCTGCCAGGCAAGGTCTGGGGGTCCGAGATAAACCCTCAGCGCTTACTCTTCTCTCCACATCCCAACCCTTCTTCCCCAAGAGGGACTTGCCACCTACTCCTGAGTTTATAACAGACTCTCACATAAATGACTGGCTGACAGACTGAAGCTGCTACAAAGCTACTACTTGAGCAGAGTTCTGGCGACACTCAAGTGGGATCCCACAAACGTCACTCACCGAGGTGCTTATTCAGGGAGCTGAGAGTAGAACGCCATTCAGTCAGCTGAGCTTTGCTGTAATTGGGGGGCAGGAGGTCACTGGGGAAGGAAGATGTGACACGTGAGCCATACTTGAATAAAACATTCACTTACCAAAATTGGTAGCATCTTCAAGGAACACGGGTCTAGGGAAGTATCTACGTAAATACCGATGAAATGAGTGACCTGTTGGGGATTTCCTGGTGCTAAAAGCATACCTTGTGAAAAGGTCTAATAACATTATTGAGCATGTTACTTAGAAAATAAAACTGAATTTTCCTAATGGAAGAAAACCAAATGGTTATCACACGACCCAGGAAGCCACTTCGAGGAACCTAATGAGAGATAACAATATAAAATGCATACAGAGTTTATGCATTAAGGCCATTGCTTAACAGTACCGTTTATAAACACTCAAAAAATCAAAAACAACCTTCATTCCAACAATAGGGACTTGTCCGAATAAAATACATGAATTCTCTTCTGTAGTCACTAAAAACCGTGTAGCAGATTGAAAAATGGTCAGTATCGTTAGGTCCTCCCACCAGCAGGTGGGGTCTATTTTTCCACCCCTGGATCTGGGCTTGGCCATGAGATTTGCTTTGGCCAATGCGACACTAGCAAACATGACACAGAAAAGGCTTGGGGAAAGGGCTTATGCATTCCACTTGCCCTCTCTTGCTGTAGGGAGCTCTTCTGCCAGCACAACCACCATGCCTACAAGCCTGGATTAGCCTCCTGGAGGCTGAGGGAGCAAGTGGAGAGAGGCCCCAGCTGCCCCAGCTGAGGCTCCAGACACGGGAGTAAGGCCATCCAGCCCAGCCACAGGGAACTGCTCGGCCAGCTCACAGAATCATGAGAAGCAAAAAATGATTGTTGCTTTAAGCCACTAAGGAAGTTACAGGTGGTGTTTACTGATGTGGAAAAATGCGTATGACATGCTATTTATTGTCCAAACCAGGACATTTTGCCAGTGAAAGGGGGATGAGATTAACAATTATGTCAGACAAGACGTGTAACCCAGGGTGGTCTTGGGCAGCCCCCTCATAGTGGGACAGTAAAGAGCAAAAGGTAGCTACAAGAGTGTGCAGGGCATAATCTCAAGTCTAAACATTGTACTAAATGCAATGTGGCACCCTAGACTGGGCCTAGATTGTGGCATCCTAGATTGGGTCCTGGAACAGAAAAAGGACATTAGTGGAAAAACTGGTGAAATCCGAAAAAGTCTGGTGTTTACTTAATGGGAACTCATCAAAGTTAATTTCTTAGTGTTGACAAGTGTCCATGGGCAGTGTAAGATGACAACATTAGGGAAACTGGATTAGGAGTATACAGGAATTCTGTGTGCTACCTTTGTAACTTTTCTGTAAATCTAACATTACTCCAAAATGCAAATTTTATTTTTAAAAACTATTTTTAAATTACATGCACATATACTTACTGGGTCCAGGAAAATCCATGGGGATTCTCCTGGGATTTTGGATAACTCCCTCTTGGGGCCCTGGGAATCTTAATAAGACTCCCCACCCCTCTGCCATCACTGCCCACAAGCCTGCAGAGGGCCTGGCATGCGCCAAAACAAGGATCCTCGCCGGGCGTCTGGGGCTATGGGTTTACAGAGGAAGGCCTGGAGCTCTGGGCCGGGATGGGACGTGGGCGATACGTGTGATCCCATATGAGGCAGTTCCGTGGAACAGCTCCTCGGGCTTGACTAGAAGGCTCCCTAGCAGCCGCTGACAGGTCAAGGAAACATAGGTGGTGTCTACACAGTGTGCTTTGTGGGAGCTGTCCAGACCTCTTTGCACAAATACCACAAACCCAAACCTTCGCTCGACACTCACTGGAATTCTGTGATCAAGGCTTTGCAACTTTAAGTTGTGTGTTTAAGCATTGTGTTTGCAATGCTTCCAGACAGTGGGATTATGTTCTGACTTCACCTTTTTATATATTCCCACTGCTGGGTCCTATGTCCTATAAATGTGCTCTTGCCTCTGATTTCTTAGAATTGCCCCCACCTTCCTCCAGGCCAAGTCATATCACACACCCAGCTCCATGCTCTGCCTGCAGACACTGCCATTATACAGTGTGTCCCAGCTTTGGCCAGAAGCATCAATGAATGCATTTTTCTCCAGGTCTTTGGCCCTGTCTCTCCCCTCCACTCAGGCAGCAGTCAGCCCCACATTCACAGCCTGTATGAGGGATGTGGTGGGGCATAAAAGACATCAGCCTAAAAACCTTTCTGCATTTTGTCTGCAAAAGTCTAAGTTCTTAGGAGAGTCGAGAACACTGTTGAGGAGAAGGCATTTGTGGGAGTCGGCTGAGAGCCCTGGGGAGGAGGAGGGTGCTGGGGACCAGGACTGTCTCCTCACCCAATAGAAAGGGGTTGGGGGGAGGTGCAGACACAGCAGGATGGCGGGTGCCTGGCAGTGCCAGCCTGGCAGTACCACCAGCCTACTTCCTGGGTCACAATGGGAGCAGCTGCAAGACCCACATCTCTGGACAGCAACGGTTGCCTGGGTGTGAGGACTCAGGGGCTCAGAGCAGCCTCCTCAAGATTCCTGCGTCCAACAGTCTGGAAGCAACAGCAGTTGCCCGGCTGCATGTGTGTGGACCAAACTCTAATGACCAGACTCCCACCACCAGGCCTGGCTTTGGGTGGGATTCCGTAACTTTCCCTCAGTGGACAGGATCCCCAAGAAAGGCTAAGTTTTGCCCAGCTTTATGAACAGGGACTCAGAGTCAGAAATAAGTGGAGTCAGAGAAAACAACAAAAGCACTTTTCCTTGTGTTGAGATTTTTATCCACGTTAATTTCACACTGCATGAAAATGTGGCTGCACATGGGGCAGGAGATGCCAATCCTGAGGGAGTCCTTCTGGCTCACGTTGTGGGGGTCCTAACAGTCATTTACGTCCCAGGAGAACTTGAGCTCTGTGGTGGGGAGACGGGAAGAACCTGCATCCCAGCGTCCAACGAGGGACCATCCCAGCGTCCAAAGGACCAAGGAGGTGCACGGGTCCCAACACATGAAATGTCTTTGCCTTGCAGGACCACACAGGCTCCATCCTGCTGCTAAGGGTGGATGCTACGGGCTCCCCAGACGGTGGGCTTCCAGGGTCTAGAACAGTCAGTATGCCCCCGCCAAAGAGCTTATCATGGGATCAGAGCTGGACCCAGGTGTGAGGGAAGCATCCACGGCCTCTGGCAGGTCCCTGTCTGATGGCAGCGGCCTCCTCATCGGCCTCCAAGCCTTCAGCTTCATTCATACCCCTCTACCCACCCTCCGAACTGCAGACTTGATGGAGTCCCTCTGCTCCCCACTGCCCTCAGGAAAAGTCTAGCCCCTGACCTGGCCCCTCCTTCCCCCGCTCCCCTCCGACCTCGCCCCTGTCATTACCCCCTTCCAAGCTCTTTGGCAGAACCACACTAAACTTCTTTCTGCAGCAAATGTGTCATGTGCCCTGTTGCCACTGGGGCTGGGACACCCCAGAACATGGACCCAGGCAACCAGCCCAGGACCATAGAACTGGGAGACGGCCGGGTCTGGAGGACACCTCAGAAGAAAGGTCAACGCTGAGGACTGTGCCTGCCTCCCCCATGGACCCCCGAAAGGTGCCCCTCCCCAGTGGCCCCTCCTTCTGTACCAGATGGTGCAGAGATGGTCCAGCCGCTTTTGCCACAGGGCGCTCTGGTTCTTAAACATGGTCTCCAGCTCCATCTGCACAGCTGGAGGAGTCTGGATCCTTTCACTGGCCATGAACTCACTGGGCGTCCAGACACGTCGGCACCATGCAGAGGAGGGGAGGGGCAAGGTGGATGGGAGAGAAGGGATGAGACCCACGGTAAGAACGTTCAGAACCCTAGCACCTGGACACCACTCCCAGCCCCTTCCCCTCCATCTGGGCATCTGAGGAAAGGAGGGAAGAAAGAGAGGGAAGGAGAGCGGGGGAGCGAAGAATGGAGGGACCAGCAGGCACAGATCGGGTGTGGGTCCTGACTGCTGCCTCCAGCCCTGTGACCTTGGGCAAGTTGCCCCCGCTGAGTCTCAGTTTCCTCTTCCGTAATGGAGCTAATGACAGTACCTTCCTCAAGGAGTACTTGTGACGACCCAGCAAGATAATGTGAGCAAAGCCCTTAGCACTGTGCCTGGCTCCTGGGAAGTGCCCAGGATGTGTCAGCACCTGCCATCACTGCCGATGACGATTACTGACATCTTAACAACCTCCCAAGCCCACGCCCAGGCCGAGACCAGGCACTTTCCATACAGCATCTTGTTGACCATCACTGAAACCCTATCACCAGTTAGGGTGCACCTGCAGAAAAAGGCCCTGTATGTTCAAGCCCTTGACCAAGGTCACAGGGAAAGTACAGGTGCAGCCAGACCTCAATACACTTTTCCTTTCTCCCCAGAGTCAGACTCTGGTGCTCTCCATCTAGAAATGCGGGCGTACAGATGGGCCTCCCATCCCCACGGCTACAGCACAGACAGACACTCTTTGGTGTCCTCAGACATCTTGGTCCCAAGAGTCCCTTTCTTAGCAAAAGAAAGCCTTCCTTATTGGCCAAAAGCTCCAGGACCCTTGTGTCAGTATTAACAAAAGTGCCATCTGGTGGAGGGAGCTTGGAGATGGGCCCTCTCTTCACCCTGCCTCCCATGGGTAAAACCTGCTACCACAGGGTGGGAAGTGTTCCAAGCCTGAGGGATGGCCATTCTCCTTGGCCCAGTAATAGTAGAGTGGACAGTGGGCAGATAATCAGACTAACATTTTCAAACAATTTGTACAGTGCTCAGAAAATGCTTATGAGAAAATGTGTACGAAGAAAATAAGATACAAATCTACATACGCAGTATGTGTCTAAAGAAGCCTGGGAGAAAATATAACAAAATATCAGCCGTGCTTCTCACTGTGGTGAGGAATTAATGGTGATTTTTAATTTCTTCCTTATACTTTTATCTATTTTGACTTTTAAAAAAGAGCACCTATTACTTTCACCACCAGAAAAAGCAAGAGCCTTTTAAAGTAACCACAAAGGGAGGGAGAATGTGGCCCCCTTGCCCACCTATGCTGCGGCCCAGGGGGGGCAGGGGGAGAGCCTCGGGTGGTGTGGGCAGCCACCGACCTGAAACCCTGCACCAGGTCCTCCTTCTTGAGAGCCTTCCAGGCATCCACCAGGCCCTGCCAGCGGCGGTGGCCATCGAGCTCCTGCTGCAGCGCGGCCTCCATCAGGTTGACAAACAGCTGGGCGAGGGCCCTCCGGTTGCCCAGCAGGGCGTGGTTTATGATCTGCAGTAACAGGTGGGCAGGCTCTAGATAGAGTGGGGGCTCTCCAAGGTCAGAACAAGGCTCAGTTGGAGAGGGGGCTGGTGAGCTGCGGGCCGAGGGCCGAGCAGGGCCGTGGCAGCGTCTGAGGAGTACTGTGGGGTCGCTGGGCACTCAAGGAAGCTGCCCGGGGCTCAGCGGCTACGGACATGACAACGGTCTTTCCTGAAGGCTTAACCATGAACCCTGACCACGTGAGTTTCAACCCAGCTCCAAGGCCACCTCAGACTGTTTGTTTAAAAAGGTGATTCTAAGTTCACTGGAGTTAAGCACTTCAGCAGGCTTTCAGTGTTTAACTGTTTTTTTAGAAATTTGTTCCAAAAGCAGAGCGCTCATGCTACCAGGGACCAGCCACATATGGTTGTGATGAGAACCAGTACCCAATTACCAAATGAGATCAGAGCTAGGACATTTTTTGGCAGTCCTCCCAGCGGACCTCACCAGGGCACCTTTGGCATGGCAGTCGGGACGATTCTTCACTGTGTGACACTGTTCTACCATTTAGCCTCTCCACCCCCTTAAATGAGAGCAGCCTCTCCCGAGTCCCCGAAGGACTGGGACAGCCAAAAATGCCCCACACGTGTCCCCAAGCCCTCTATGCACTGCCCTGGGGCAAGGGTGAGAACCGCCAAGCTCAGCAGGCAGAAATTTCAGTAACAATTTTCACTGAAAACCGAGGTTTGATGCCGGCTGTTCCCAGCTGGGGGGCATTGGCAAGTATCCCCTGAATCTCCAATTCCGTAGCCGTAATGTAAAGATAATGCCATTTACAGCACAAGGAACTGGTGAAGTTAAACGAGATAGATGCACACAGAGCAAGTAGAAAGTACCAGTTGTTATGCATACAATAAACACAGGAAAGTCAAATGTCGAAACGTAAGTGGGACACTGTTAACTCTGACTCCCCTAATCGATCAAATGGCTCAAAGTTAGGAACTCCTGCTTGTCTCAAAATGAGAGCGGCCACTGCTGCGTCCTCTTATGTCATCCTCCCCCCAAGTACTGGTGTTTAAGTATCACTATCCTCATTTTATGGACACGGAGTTCCAGGTGCTGGGGCTGAGTAATTTCAGGAACTTTCATGTCTGGGCAGTGGAGAGGGGGGTCTGTGCGCTCTCTCTGTCTGTGCTTTGTCCAGGACCCCAAGGCACAGACCTGGGCTGGAGCCCATCTGTGATTCTGAACACTGTACTCCTTCTACCCTGCGTGCTGCCAGGAGGCCCATTAACTGGCAAGCCCAGCTTTCTGTACAGGACCTAGAAACCTATGCAAGAGAATGTACCTCTGAGTAGCCGAAGGAAGTGTCCTTTCATGAACAACCTTGATTTTCTTGTATTTTTTTTTATCCCAAAGGAAGCATTTGGAGGAGGCTGAGGGTGTGGACAGAGAAGCAGTGGGGACAGAGCCAGAGGAGCAGGCATGGTTCAGCAATAGACAGACAGCAGGAGGAAAGACAAGAACCACTAGAAAAACTAGACATACAGGGCATGCTGAGGTCACTTATGAGTGCACACACCACCCTGAGACCACAACAGTTGTGAGATCATGCCTCTGTCTTGTAGCACACATAGCATTGCACATGGTAGCTCAGACACGGCCCCGTAGGTGCTCATAAAATTATCATTGGTCACACTGATGACACAGTATTAGGTTAACTGGCAGGGAACATGGCAGGGAAGTATAAAATGTACTAGAGAGATTTCTATTGAAAATACTTAACAAAGACTCTAGTTCTGAACTCAAGTAGCCAACCTGAGTTACTTGGAAATGTTATATATGAGAAGCCCATCATTCCTGAGACCCAGGCTCTAGGGCATCCTGGGGTCCTGCTCCCGCGGGCTCATCCCCTGCACGTGAAAACCACTCACCATGGCTTCTTTATCAATCAGCCTGTACACGTCGGGCTGCATGAGGTAGGAAGTTTTCTCTATGATTTCCACATATTTCTTCAACACACTTTTTAGCTAGAAATGACAAGGCACCACAGTGAGTGACTCCCTTCTCCTGGAGAACTAAAAACAGGTGATGACTCATAAATCCCACAAGTGAAAATCACCAAGAGCACATCTGGAGGCCAACTCACTTTATCTGCCCGGGAGAACTCAAGCGAGTGCAGCGTCTTGTCCAGCTCCTTGATCTCCTGCTTCTGGAACAGGAACTTCTCGGCCACCTGATCCCGCAGCTCCAACAGGGTCTGTGCCAAGAAGTTTGGGTCAGGCTGGGAGAACAGGTGGCAGGGAAGAAAGGAACAGGACGCAGGTAGGGCGGGTTCCGCCACGAGGGGACCCCTACTTGGATGGTGTAGTCTTCAAGGTTGCTGTCGTTTTCCACCTTTTCGAAGAGATTGTTGATGTCTTCGTCAGACTCAGCCAGCTTTTTTAAAAGAAGGGCTCCTGGCTCCACGATGAGAGGTTCCATTTCCTAAAACAGGCCAGGAGGGCGAGGGCTATGGTATCAACACCCCTGGGATGGGAAGGACCCCCCCAACCCTATAGTAGGGAAGTGCCAACTGCGGTCCTCTCTCAAAAATAGCAACTCTTACCTAGACCTACAGAGTTCAGATTTACTAATTGTTCACAGCCAGAGCACAAGGGCAGCACTATTCGGGACACACATTATGTGTGAGGCCTTGTCCTCAGACTCACTTGGTCCTCATCATAGCTGGCAAAGTACGTGCTGACCTTATGCCTGGCCCATGGTTGGGGCTCAACAAATATTCATTAAAGAAGTGGCCAGTGAAATAATTCCAAGAGTGTTTCAGATGAGGAAACTGAGGCTCCGTTCGGTTGTGTGACCAAAGCCACTGAGCTCATGGTGACAGCAGAGCTCAAGTCCAGTTGGGATATATTAGGAAAGTGATAAGCTGGCAGGGAGAGCACCTTCTTGGTGCTTTGGGTCTACGACCAGCTCCCGGAATCCAGGGAGCTCAGGGAGAAAGTGGTGAGTGTGATCTGGGGCCCAGAGAGGACCCGAAAGGGCAATATTCCAGGGATTAGTCTGGTTAGAGGTCTCTGGAGAGGAACAGTGAGCCAATTGAGGGTAGTGCCTAAGGGTCAGGTCGTTTGGCCCCTTGTTAGTAGGACTGAGCAGGGAGATCAAAGACTGGGCTTTAGCATCAGATCCAGAGTCCAGTTCCCACTTGGCCCTTACGTGCCAAATCAGGCAGGACTTTCTGGGCCTCACCGGTAAACTGGAGGTTATAACAGTACCTGACATATAGAGTTCTGCTCATAATCAGAACTTGTAGCAAGCCATCCAAACATGGCTACTACGATTCTGTCTACACCTGGTGAGCCACTGAGGGCCTGGGAGGAGGGGCGGTGGGCGCTGTGCGGAGTCCACCCTCCCCTTGGAATGGCCCAGGAACAGAAGGCAAGTGAGAGGGAGAATTCTCACCATCGCAGTCTGATCGATCTCCTCCTTAAAGCTCGCCAGAGCACTCTCATAGCCCCTCCTCTTGTAATCCCCTCGCCCTTGAAGGGTGATGGTGCTGAACCTCTCAGGAACTGGGAGAGAACAACGGAGGTGATGAGGCTGCCCTCAGAGCTCCAAGGTGAGGTCAGAGTACCCAGGAAAAGACAGCAAGGCAGCAAGTGCCTGGGTTCAGGAGATGGCCCCCCAAAGCAGGCCAGCAGTGTCAGAGACTTAAGGACAAAGAAGGTGATCCCTAAGTGCTGTACGGAATTAAGTCTTGCATATACAGTTAAATGCTCAAAAAAAGTTCCAAACGGTATGTATAGAATAGGAACATTTAGGGTTTTTTTAAAAAGTTTTATAGAAGAAAACACATACACAGATAAGAATTACCAACACTTATCAGCACTTACCATTCACGAGGTATTGTTCTAAATCAGTTACTCCTCAGGATGAAGCCAAGAGGCAGGTTCTATTACCGGCCACTTAATAGGACACTCAGGCATGGGGGTCCAAGACCAAAGGCAGTCAGAGGCTCGGCAGGGGTTGGCATGTGGGCCCTCTGCTCTAGGGTCTGTGAGCTCACCCTGCGCTCTGCTGTCCTCTGAATACAGGTGGGGCACTATGTGGTTTCATGGGCGGTGGGCACTCTTGGGCGGAGAAAGGGGCTATTGTGGAGGCGGAGTTTTCACCTTCTGCTTTATCTCCTTCCTTTTTCTATAGTGAGCATGTATTACTTTTTTAATTACGCAGAAAAAGAGCCTCCATATCCAGATAAAGTCAAACCAGGGTAATGTGATACAGACTGAAAAACCCTCCTGTGAAATCACAGACGAGCGAGCTACATCCTTTACCAAATGGTTTCATCAGGAAATGCTGACTGTGCAGGCAGCCCCTCTTCCCCCCACCAGCTCCCTGCGCTGGGGAGAAGGTTCAGGGGAGATGCTTCAGAGGCAAAGGCCCAGGGGAGAGGGGCGGGGCGGAGAGGTGGGTTCCAGGGAAGGCCCTCTATGATGCTGAGCAGAGGAACAGCTGGGACCTTCAGGTGCTTGTACTTCAGCGCTTCCAGGAGCTCCCCACAGAGCGCTCTCTGGCCCAGGCCACGCCTGCCCTCATGCCTGAACATCGGCTCACCAGGGGCGTCTGGGAGGCCCCGCACTTCTCTGGCAGCAATGCTGTTCTCACCCTCTTGAGCTTTTTCCTTCTTGGCTATTTCCTTTTCCCTGAGGCACAAGCAGAGGAAAACAATAACCAACACCCCCTACCACACCCACCCTCCCCGCCCTCACTGCTCCCCTCCAGGGTAGCTCTGGGTCTCCAGAGACACCCTGGGAATTGGTAATAGTCCGGGCCCACTGATTCCAAAATGCCCTGAGGATGTGCCCCCAACAAACACTGCCTGGGCATCTGCTGCCAGCAGACACCACAGTCCTCAGGTGAGAAGCTGGGGTCTGCCCTCAGGGATCTTGCTCCATTCTGGCCGCACAACAAGTATGACTGGTGGGCAGGAGCCATTTTCCACATGTGGAAACTGAGGGCCACAAGGGGCCTGGCCAACCTGGGAAAGCCAGACCGGGGCTAAGCATTCAGCACGTTCCTCCTCTGCTTCTTCAACAACCCGTCCTATGAGGCAGCCAGGGTGACCCTGTTGTCCAGGATGGGGGATGAGGGAGGGAAGTCACTGGACAAAGTGGCGCTGGACTTCCCAGATCCCTGCACGTGATGCCAAGGTCCATGGTTCATGGGGTCTGGGTGTGGGAGGAGAGAGCTGGGATCCCAGGACAAACTATCTCAGCAGGGAGGACCAGGTGGGTGAGCACGACCTCAGCTTTGGAATAAAAATCCCTTAATGTGCTGCCCACAGGGCAAGCGCCACAGAAATGCAGCAGTTCTCAGTGACGCCTGCCATTCCTCGGGGCCCTGACATGTGCAGCACTTACCAGACTTTTTCTTATGTAGTCCTCATGGCACACCTACCACCAAGGAAGACTGCAGGGCCTGGGTAGCAGCTGATGGGGCCCAGGCTGGCCCTCCAGAGGGGGGGGGTCTCTCAGCCTTGTCAACCAAATGCCCCTGGACTAAGGTGGCCCCACTATGGGAGCTGTTAACAGCTCTGGCTTCTTGGTCACTTGTCCCAGGAACTTGGGGGCTTGGTTTACACTAGCGGTGATCTACCCGTACCCCAAGTTTCTCTTCCACCCACCAGAGGTCCTGTCCTGTGTGAATGAATACACAAGTTGACCGGTTTGGCTGGCCAAATTTTCAAGGAGGGGACAAGGCACCCCAGAGAGGTGCCAATGCTGAGTCAGTGATCCCAGCCGCTTTGAGGGTGGCAGGGCCTGGTAGGTTATAAGCACATCTCTCTTCTTGTGTCCTTGTCTGTCTGTGCCAGGAAGCCAGCACAACGCCAGCGCCCTCCATGAGAAGTGCCTTTCCCCAAACAGTGTCCTGTGGGTGCCAAGAGTGCCTGACTGATGTTATATCCAGTTATGGGGAGGATAGGTGGTTCTAGGCTAAACTCTGGGGAGGAGGGGACCCTCGGGAAGCACAGGGAGATGTCAGGAGTCCGAGTCTGGTAGAAAACAGGTCAGCTGAGAGGGGCCTGGGACCCCTGTAGGAGGCAGAGTCACAGCCAGGCTGCACAAAACAATCCTCCCAGGAGGTGGGAGGGAGGGTGGTCAGGTTCCAGCTGTGTGTGCCTCTGGATCCCTGCATGGGGCATCAGGGACAGGGCTGGAGAATGCTGACCTCCAGTCTGTGCCTGGGTGGCCAGTGGGTTTGCCCAGCTGTTCAGGGTGCTGAGTGTCAGAAGCCTCAGGGGACCTTTTCCTGGGAAAACTCAAAGGGCAGGGCAAAGACTTTTACCCAGTCAATCCCTGCTCCAATGGGGGTTAAAAGGAACACAAAGGCAGATACAGCAGGACTGACTTCCTGTCCCAGAGTCCCAGACTCGAGAAGGTTTATGGCTGGTGCAGAGCTTAACGAGCCTAAGGGAAGCCCAGCTCCTGCTACATTCTCCAAAGTGCCCCGTGAGGAAGCACTTTTCCTTTTCCTTTCCATTCCTTTCTCCCTGCTTGAGGAGTCTAAGCTCAGGGAGCTGAAACGGCATATGCTCAGGAACCTCAAGTTCAACTTCTGAACTCGGAGGTTCAGAAGGAACTCCTGATCTCCCTGTCCCAACCCCACTTGCTCCCATCTCAGGGAATGGCACCTCTGCTGTCCACCCAAGCGCTCAGGCCAGAGACCGAGGACTCTCAAGAGCCCTCTCCTCCCACCCAATCTGTCACCTAGTCCCGCGGGTTCTGCCTCCAAAATAAACCTGAAGTGCACTGTGTCCCTCTCACAGCCCCACAGAGCTTGCGTGGACTGTGGTGGCCTCCTCCCTGGCCTCCCTGCCTTTCCTTACAGCCCCCACATTCTACACACCGCACAACCTGAAGGCCTTCAAAATGCAAATCAGCTGTTCACTTCAGCACAGCCCAAAATACGGACTGTGGCCTGCAAATCCCTCCTGGCCTCATCTCCCAGCCCTCTCCGCAGGCCCGCTGACTTCTTCAGCCTTCTGAACAGATAAGCCGGTACTGTCTCAGAGCCCTGCTCTGTGTTTACTTTCCTCATCCTCTCATCCCAGCTGAGGCCCCTCCTCAGACAGCTTTCCTGACTCCTGTCCCACCACCCTGTCCTCGGTGTCAGAGCCTTCCCCGCTTTGGGGAGACCTGCTTATTTATGTACTGTTGAAGCCTCAAGTTCCAGGAGGTTGGGATCCGCATACCCAGTGCCCCGGCGAGGGAGAGGGCAGAAGAGAGGGAGAAGCAAACAATCCTGCAAAGTAGGTGTTAATACCGCTCTTTCTCAAGGGAGGTACCTGGGACTTCATTCCTATCTGGTACTCATCTTGTGTGAGCTCTTTTTGAGTTTTTGAAAATTCTAACCACCCCTAGTGTGTGGGATGTGGCCTGGACAGCAGGACCTACCTGTAGAGAACAGGGTTTTCGGTGACCCAGTCATTGGGTAGGCTGTGCGCCCACTTCCGCTGCCGAGGAGACATCATCTCCCCTTCACGAATATCCATCTTCGTCATCAAGAGCTTCCTGCCATCCTTTGGGGCCATGGAGCGCTCCATAGCTCGCTTCCTGGTGGATGCCAGGGAGCGGACCAGCTGTACCTAAATCCAGGAAGGTCCAGGTTAGGGGGATCAGAACTGCAGACTTCCCAGCACCCAGGCTGACTGCGCTGTCTTAGGTCAAGTGGGAGCCGGCCAGCAGGAAGGCATTTTGAGGGAGGCCTGCAACCCCAGGGCACGCTCCATGCAGGTGGGCTCTCCCCTCCCCATATCAGTCATTCAGCCATTTCTAGGAGGGCATCTTTTAAGAAATTTTAATGAGGACCGAGATGCTCATCCCCACATTTTTATAATCACAAGGAATTGGAAAAATGGAACTGTCCAACAATAGGAGATTGGTTGAGTAAACCCAGTATGACCCTTCAGGTGAATGTTAGGAATTTATTAAAAATGAGACTTACAAAGGATATTTTATGACATGAGGAAATGCTCAGGATATGATATACCATAAAATATATCAATTAAGAGCATAAATTACCAAGCCTTCCACAGAGAGCATTATTTAGGGCTCCAAGTAGGAATAAAAATCCCTTTTAAATAAGCAGTACACAACTTCAAAAGAAGGGTTTGAGTCTGTGTGTTTCTTTTAAGATATTGTTTCATCTGTGCAGTTTTTTATAGATGACAAGGCAATGCCAACAACCTATATGGCTGTCAAGAGGGCATTATTACCTTAATAAATTATGGGAGGTCCTAGGTCAAAAACTAAGCAGCCACTAAACATCGTGAAGTTCGTAAATGTGCAGTGACAAGGAAAGGTCTCTGGGATAATTTAACCAGGGAAAGAGTAGGTTTTAAGACACTGCTATAGAATCAAACCCAGTTTTTAAACAGAAAAATAAGAAATGCTTTCATGCTAGGTAAAAGCTCCAGGACACCCAATGGCTAATTCTGGCTATTTCTGAGTAATTTAAATTAAATTAAATTAAATTAAATTTTCTAATTTTCAGAAACAGACATTCTAATTTTGTATCCTTACATTTCAGGAGCCAATAAGAATTATTTTTAATCTAAGCAATTTCAAAGCCCTTATTTCATTAGATTCCAGGCAAGGAAGTCTTCAGAGGGAGGGAAGTTTCCAGGGGGCCGGAGGGAAGGGGGGGGCAGGAAAAGGGGGAACAGAAGGACAGGCTTACCTCAGCCTCGAAGATCTGCTGGTAGACTTTCCCGCTGGGAATTTGGGTCACCTTCCCCACTGAGGACATCTTGGCCTCTGGCTGGACACCCCTGCAGGGAAGCTGTTGCCTGGGGTTTGGTCTCTATTAGACCCGGACGGATACTGACAAACCTCCCCCTACCCCTCCGAGGACAAGTCCTCCCCCGAGGACAAGGCTCCCCAGGCAGACAGGCTGGCCGGGTCCACGGGGGCTGAGACTCCTCTACCCTGGGAGAAAGCATCAGGGCCCCTCTCAGGCCTCAGGGTTCTTACTTTAAAAGAAGAAGAGGGGGAGGGGTGCGAAGAAGCAAAAGGGAAACAAACCTCAGGCAAGAACCTAACTCGAACTCACTGAGAAGGTCGGCTCTCCCAGCCACGCCAGGCGCAAATCCGAGGCTGACTTTGGGGACAAAGAATAATAGCTATTGCTTGTGCTTCACTCTCTCAAGCTCTTCCGGGAAAAGTCTACGTGCCCAAGGTATCAGCTGGGCTTTCAACCCGGCCTTGAACCCCCAACTGGCGCAGAACGCGGTTCGAGGACTTCCCCCGCACCCCTCCCCCCCTAACAAAGGACACCTGGGTAGGAGGACGTGGAGGGAGGGAGCGGCCTGATTCTGGCCACGCTCATTAGGCACCTACTGAATGCTGAGAAGCCCAGCAGGCTCCTCTCACACCTGCCCCCACAAACCCATCAAGGAGAAGGGGCAGTCTCAGGGCAGGCCCTCTAAGCCCCGCCAAGTGGAGGGAGGCCCTGCGCCCAGGGACCCGGCCGCGCCCGCACCTGCACCAGCAGAAAGCACCACTCAAGTCCAACCTCAACTGCAACTAGACACACTTGGTCTCCAAGGCAACGCAGAGGGGCGGGAGCTCCGTTGGCCCCGCCCTCACGCACTTTCCCAGGAGGAGGTGGGTTGCCCTTAGCGACGGGGAGCCCGCCCCCCTCGTGGAGTAGTGAAACTCCTGCCAGTTTCTCTGTGCAGGGGATACCTCAGGGCCGGCAGGAGCATCCAGAGAAGCACATTGAATATTCCGAAAACTAGCAGGAGACAGGAAATGCATCTCTGAGCCATTGTGGTCAAGAAAAACCATCCCATCTTCTTTGTCTTGGTTAAAACCAATCTCTGCTGGGAAGTAGCATAGAGTAGTGCCTGGCTATAAATAAGAAGTGGAAAGCATCTCTAAAAGAGACCATCTCTTCTCAGAGTAAAAGAGGTTGAAGGGCTCAGGCTTGAATGGAATTACAATCAAAAGGCTAATTTATGTGACTCTTTGAGTTCCATTCACCCAACTCACCACTGCTGCATAACCCTCCTAAAATACAGCTCTGATGTACCCACTCTCCTGCTCAAAAGGCCCTCACCAGCTCTGCAGCCCCTACCAAACCCAGCCCACAGTCCCTAGATGACCTCAGAGCCCCACCCCCACCGCACCCGGTTCCCGCCCTGACTCTCCCTGCTTCAGCAAACTCCTCACTCTTCCTACATCTGCCACTGCCCCCTGCCCTTCCTCACCCTGCTCCTCTGCTGGGATCCTTCTGTTTCCACACACCCCAAACCCACCCATACTTCCAGCCACTGCCAGTGACAGGATCCCCCCCACTCACTCTGACCCTCATCTCCCTTTCCTCACCCCGTCACCTCTCCTTTCCCTGAACGTGCTTGTACGTTGGTCGCTGTCAAATGCAGGAGTTCAGGGCATCCTACTGGAAGGGGTTTTCTGAGGGGCAGGTGTGCCCTCCTAACTTTCGTCCAGCCTCCACTGCCCTCAGCAGTGTCCTGCACATAATTCAGACACACTGAGTGCTCCCTGGTAAACGCACGAATGCCCTGAGTGTCTTGGTCTGACTCTCCCAGAGTTGGCTCTTTCCCACACACGCACCCAGAGTCCTGCACGGCCAGGGCTGAAGATACTTGTGGCTGACACTGAACTTGGTGAGGGTTTCCTGTAGGTGTGGGGTTCCTGACTCCTCAGAGAATCCCTCCCCTCAGCAGGGATCCCTGTCCCAATTGCTCATAAATGCTCCCTATGTCAACTTCCTTGAATAAGTGATCATTCTGTCCATACTAGTTTCAGAAATTAAGAAACAGTGAGTAGAAACCCTTTTATTCCCCTTCTTTGGTCCCAGGTTTATTAACAAGGTGAAATATTGTAACAAGTGATTGGACTAATTTTAGCTGGAAGTAGAGAAAGTATATTTAAGTGAGGTTAAGGGTGAAAAACACAATAAAAAATAAGAAATGTCCAGGAATTATTTGCAGTTAGTGAGATCTCTGTCTTGTCTAAGAGGCCCTGTTGGCTTGGCCCTTCTACATCAGAAACTGTGTTTTCCCTGCTCAGATAGATGCTTCCTGGGTTCCGAGTAAGTTTAATACTCTCAATAACTATGAGAGGGGTACTGTAATTAGATGAAGAAACTGAGGCTCAGAGAGTTGGTAACTTGGCCAAGATCTCCAAGATAGGAAGTGATTAAATCCAGGATGTGAACCTCGACCATGTAATTCCAGAGTTTTGAACCAAACACTATGTCATCTGACCTTGGGACTAACCAGAAAAAAAGTTCTGGATCCAACTGATAGGATTTGTGTGTTGAACTACAGCACACATACCGAAAAGTATGGAAATCATAAGTGTATAGCTTAATATATTATCCAGTGGGAATACACCTGGTAACCAGTACCCACAAGAAATAGAACATTACCAGCTCTCCAGGAGCCCCCTTTATGTACCCATCCCAAGTCACTGCCCTCTCCTCCCCAAGGGTAATAAATATTCTAACTTATGAATTAGTTTTGCTTGTTTTTGAACTTAAATGGAATAATACAGAATGTACCCTTTTATGTTGGACTTCTTTCATTATGTTTGTAAGTTTCAAACATATTTTTGAATGTGGCTGTAGTTCATTTTTATTTCTGATATCCCATTACCAAAAAATATAACCCATCGTATCTATCCTTTCTATTATTGATGCACATTTGGGTGGTTTCCAGTTTAGAGAATTACTAAATAATGCTGCTCTGAACATTCTTTTCCATGGTGAACATATGTAGGCATTTCTATTTTATGTCTATTCATATTTTCATATACTTAAGGCTATTCACATTTCTTTTTCCATGAACTGTGGGTTCATGTCTTTTGCCAATTTTTCTACTGTGTGTCTGTTCTTTTTCTTATCAATTTCTAGGAACTCTTTGTATATTGGGCATGTGAGCCCCTTTGTAATATGAATTACAAATATTCACAGTTTATCATTTCTTCCTTTTTATTATGATGGTTTGGGTTGGGGTTTTTTGGGGTTTTTTATTTGTTTGTTTGTTTTGCTATGTATTGTTAAGACGTTACTTCTCCCCAAATTGATCCATAGATTTATACAATCACAATAAAGTATCTCAGCAGATGTCTGGTGGACACTGACTATTTGATTTCAAAATTTCCATAGAAGTACAAATGGCCAAGAATAGTCAAGACAATCTCAAAGAAGAATAAACTTGAACGGCTTACACAACCAGATATTAAGCCTTAGAATAAAGTTACAATCATCAGGGCAATGTGCTGTAGTAGCGCAAGGATAAACACAAAGAGAAACAGAGAGTCCAACTCAGACCCACACATACGAACATTTATGTTGTATATACTAAAGAGGCCCGGCAGAGCAATGGGGAGAGGATAGTCTTAGTAAACAGCCCAGGGTCGCTAGTTATCCATATGGGAAAGAAATTAATCTTCACTCCTACCTTACACCATGAACAAAAAATCAATTCCAGGTGGATTTAAAATCTAAATGTGGAAGTTTAAAATAATAGCATTTGTATTAGATAACATAGGAGAATATTTTCTTGACCTTGGGGCATAAGGACAAAAATTAATAAACTGGATCTTATTAAAACTAAGAGCTTCACTTCATCAAAAGATGCCTTCAAGAGAGTAAGAAAGAGCAGAAGGAGAATAAATATGTGTCATATATTTATCTGGAAAAAGCCTCACAAAGGATACGTAACTAATTTCTGTGAATTAATAAGAGGAAAGAGACAATCTACCTGAAAAAAGAAATGGGCAAAAGATTTGACTAGGCATTTCACAGAAAGATAACCAAATGGCCCACAGGTACATAAAAAGCTGCCCAACATCATTACTCATCGGGAAAATGCAGATTAAAACCACAATGAAACACCACTACACGTGTACCAGAATGGCTGAAAAATGCTGACAATACCAAGTGTTGGTGAGGATGTGAAGCAACTGGAACTCTCATACACTGCTATGTGTGTAAACTCCTACAACCACTTTCAAAATCTCTTTGATAGTATCTCCTAAAAATGGACTTACACATACTCAATGACCCCAAAATTCCATTCCTGGGTAAATGCCTCAGGCTCAGTCATAATATGACAAAATTATGAAAGTTTAAAATTTGACAATACATCCTAAAGCTGGGGGAGAAATAGAAAAGTGATGCTTCCTCTCCAGACTCTCCAGGCCCATCAGGTCCAGCAGTCTGTAGACCTGGCTGATTGCACTGGGGGTGCCTGCATAGCTCCAGAGAACTTGGAGTACTCAGAGGTGGCATGTTGGTGGGGGGGATGGCAAAGAACTCACATCCTGGGCAGAGCCACTGGTCCAGTGAGCAGTATGCTCTGCAAGGCTCAGCTGGAGCAAGCCAGGCTCCAGCTCCCCACCTCATAGCTCATTCTCTTACCTTCCCCAGGAATGCCGAACCTCAGGAACTTCTCCTCACCGCACGCCATCCTCTCTGCTCTGCAAAGCACCTCCACTCACCATCTGAAGAAGACATGGGGATAAGTTTCCAGGTGTGTAGGCCTCTCTCCATAGGAGCACCAGGTGGATGAGGAATCTCCCATAAGGCTGGCATTGCCCCCTCTTTCAACTGTCCAGACCTCCTGGGAGGCAGCGAACCCTGGGGACAGGGACTGGGCTGGTGGATGCGGTCTCTCAGCCTCCCTAGGACTGCTTCAAAAATCCATTTCCTTAAATATCAGAGACTGGGTTGGGCCAAATCGGAGATTTTCAAGTGTTTCCTTTATAGCAACAAACTATGTCCGTTTGAAACGAAATTTAGTCAAAATAGAACTGCTCAGAAGAAATGGGAGTGGAGGCCCCAGGCGGCCAACACAAGGGCTCCCCCCAGGCCCACGGAGCCCTTAGAGCTCAGAGGAACCAGGTGGAAACCCTCATCTAGACAGTTTGGATCATTTGGGTTCTCAAATAAAAGGGATTTGCACTCACACCCCTCCCATTATTCACAAATTTCTCCTTCCTTCTTTCCTTTTCCCTCCCCTGAGGAAGAGTTCCCCAAATTTTCAACAGCTGGTGGCAAAGATGACTCACAGAGCTGGGAGCTGCTCATCAAGGCAGAGTGGAGTCTGGAAGTCTAGAAAGAGAGAGGGAGAGGGGCACGAGACGCGGTGCCGTTTCATTTCTCACTTAAGGTATCTTTGAAAAATTCCAGTTTTGTCTTGTCTAAATTAACAGGAAAAGGGGTCTGTTTGGTTCGTGGGCAGGTGGGGGACAGTTTGGGGGCAGGAGGCCCTGGTAATGGGATAAAGTGGCAACAGCTGGCTGTTCCAGGAGGGGATGCTGAACCGGCAGAATCAGCAGGTGTCTGGATTCCATGCTGGTCCATCCCGCTGGCATTTAGCTTCTTCCAGGCTGGTGGGGCGGGTGGGAGTTCCTTTCTTCACTAAACCAGCCTAGCCTGTCCTCAGGAAGCCGGGCCCCTGCTGCTCCTCTGGTCTTCCCTCCATCTCCCAGGAGAGGGCACCCTGCCTTCACCAAGGATGGGCACTGCAGGGGACTCCCACGGGCCAAGTGGACGAACGGGCTGCCTAGCCTTGGGTCCAAATGGCTGGATCAGGGACATAAGACACCCATCCCGGTTTCCTAGATGGCGAAGCAGCAGAGCTGCAGGAGATTTTGGTCTGGAGCTGGAGTCAGCCTTCCCCTCAGATGGTACCATGGAGGAGAAAGAGATGTGGGTTCCTCCAAGTCTCTTTCTGACTGAGGCCTTGGTCTCCCTGTCTGTCATCAGAGAAGACTGGGTTAGAAGGTCCCTGAGTCTCAGCTCCCGTGTCCCCCCAGCTTTGGATTCCACAGCGTGGCCCAGGTCCAAGTCCTGTTTTCTGGGTGTGCACTGCCCCCTCAAGGGCCTTGGTGGTAGTGCAACATGAAAGGGGCGGGGATGGGGTACTAGTGATGGGCTAGGGGGCTCTTTCTGATGGACTTTAGCCGTCTGCCTCCTAGGGGAATCAGATCAACCTCCAGAAAAGGAATATTCCTCTAGAAAAGGAATAAGGTGAACAGCTGTGGTACTCGCTGTGGGAGAGTGATAGAGGAGTGGAAATCAGAGACCCTCTGTGCAGGACACTCCCTGCTCCATCCCAAGTCTTACATTTACTGGGAGAATTTGATAATACAGAAGTGGGAGACCCATTGAATTGGTAGATGGGGGAAGGGGGCTGGCATCAAGGACAACTTCCCAGAGGAAGGGCTATTTACACCCATCTCTGAAAACAGGTAGGACCTGGATGGAACTGGAGGGAACGGAGGGTTCCTGTGGGTGCCTCTCAAAGGTTTCAACTCAATGACTGAGACCCACTCACATTTTCAAAGGTAATATCCTCTATAGTCAACTGATTGTAGATGTGTTTGATTAAATAACCGGGAACTATAACCTTGCCAAATTGACATGGAGGACCATCACAGTTCTAATAATCCTTTATATATACTGAATATTAGATGCTTATCAGGTCTAATATTTTCTTCCATTCCATGGGTTGTTTTTCACTCTCCTGATAGTGTCCTTTGATGCACAAAAGTTTATCATATTTATGAAGGCTTAATAGATTGTCTTATGAACTTATCTATTATTTCTTTTCTTGCTTGTGCTTTGGATGTTATATCTAAGAATCCTTTACCAAATCCAATATCATATTTACCCCTTTAAGAACTTTATAGTTCTAGCTCTTAAATTTAGGTTTGCTCCATTTTGAGTTTTGCATATGGTATAAGGTAAGGATCCAAATTCATTCTTCTGCATGTGGATATTCAGTTTTCCTAGCACCATTTGTTGAAAACACTGTTTTCCACATTCCATGGTCTTTACCATTTGCTGAATTTCAACCATTTGTTGAAAATCGTATGACCATAGATATAGTTTATTTCTGGACTCTCAGTCTATTCCACTGGTCTATGTCTATCTTTATGCCAATGATGCACTGTTGGATTACTACTGCTTTACAGTAAGACTAAAAATCAGGCAGTGTGTTTTCTAACTTTGTTCACCTTTTCCAACGTTGTTTTGGCTATTCCTTGCAATTCCATATGAATTTTAGGGTCAGCTTTTCCATTTCTGCAAGAAAGATTTGTTGCAATTTTATAGGGATTGCATTGGACGTACAGATTACTTTAGAGAGTACTGCCATCTTATCATAAATTTTCCAACCCATTAACATGGCATAGATTTTCATTTATTTATGACTTCTTTAGCTTTTTTTTTCAGAAATGTTTAGTGGTTTTCAGAGTACAAGTCTAGTACCTCCTGGTTAAATATTTTTAAGTACTTTATTATTTTTAATGCTCTTGCAAATAATTTTCCTCAGGTTGCTCATTTCTATAGAATTATAATAAACTTTCATTTCTACAGTTGTATTGAATGGCAATTGATAGATGAGTGTTAATCTGTATCCTGTAACATTGTTGAACTCATTTATTAGCTCTAACAGTTTCTTTCTGCTTCTATTTTTATTCCTTAAGAATTTATAAAATCATGATATCAGCAAGTAGAAATATTTTTACTTTGGTTACTATAATCTTGAAGTTCTTGCATCTATTTTCATAAGGGATATTTGTCTGTAGTTCTCTTTGCTTGGGAAGTTTTAGTCTGCTAGCTTATCAGCATTATGCTGGCCTCATAGAATGCGATAGGAAATGTTTCCTCTTCTTCTGTTTTTTAGGAAGAGTTTGAGAAGAATGTATTTTAATCTTTTTAAATGTTTTGTAGAATTCACTTGTGAAGCCATCCAGTCTTGGGCATGTCTTTGTTGTAGTTTTGTTTGTTTTTGTTTTTTAAATATTCAATCTCGGGCTTCCCTGGTGGAACAGCGGTTAAGAATCCACCTGCCAATGCAGGGGACACGGGTTCGAGCCCTGGTCCAGGAAGATCCCACACGCCGCAGAGCAACTAAGCCCGTGCGCCACAACTACTGAGCCTGTGCCCTAGAGTCCGTGAGCCTCAACTACTGAGGCCCGCATGCCTAGAGCCCGTGCTCCGCAACAAGAGAAGCCACCGCAATGAGAAAGCCAGCGCACTGCAACAAAGACCCAACTCAGCCAAATTAATTAATTAATTAATTTTAAAAAAAAAGAATTCAATCTCTTTACTTGTTATAGGTCTATTAGGAGTTTCTATTTCTTTTTGAGTCAACTTTGTTAGTTTGTGTCCTTATAGGAATTTGTCCATTTCATCTGGGTTATCCAATTTGTTAGAGTACAAATATTCACAATATACTTTCATAATCATTTTTATTCCTGTAGAGTCAGTAGTATTATCCAACTTTCATTTCTGTTTTTAATAACTTGGTCTATTCTCTTTTTCTTAGTGATTCTAGCTTCAAATTTCTTCAGTTTTGTTGATCTTCTCACAGAATCCACTTTTGGTTTGATTCACTGTCTCTGTTGTTTTCCTTTATTATTTTATTTATTTATTTTTTGGGAATATAATGGCTTTACAATGTTTTGTTAGTTTCTGTTGTAGAACAAAGTGAATCAGCTATATGTATACATATATCCCTTCCCTCTTGAGCCTCCCTCTCACCCCTCCCCCCCATCCAACCCATCTAGGTCATCACAGAGCACCAAGCTAAGCTCCCTGTGCTATACAGTAGTTTCCCACTAGCTATCTATTTTACATATGGTAGTGTATATATGTCAAGGCCACTCTCTCAATTTGTCCCGCCCTCCCCTTCCCCCGCTGTGTCCACAGGTCCATTCTCTACAACTGCATCTCTTTTCCTGCTCTGCAAATAGGTTCATCAGTACCGTTTTCCTGTTCTTTATTTTATCTATGCTCTCATATTTATTATTACCCTCTTTTTGCTAGCTTCAGGTTTAGTTTACTCTTCCTTTTCTAGTCCTCAAGGTGTCAAGTTAGGTTATTGTTTTGGGATCTTGCTTCTTTTTAATGTAGACATTTACAACTATAAATTCTCCTGTGAGCACTGCTTTTTCTGCATGTCATAAGTTTTGGTATGTTGTATATTCATTTTCATTTGATTCAAGATATTTTCTAGTATCCCTCATTTTCAACTTTCACCCATTGGGTGTTTAATGTTGTATTTCTTAATTTTCACATATTTGTGATTTTCCCCCAGTTTTCCTCCTGTTACTGATATTTAGTTTGATTCCATTGTGGTCAGAAACGACACTTTTCATGATTTCAATTTTTAAAAATTTACTAAGACTTGTTTGGTGGCCTAACATATGGTCTATCCTGGAGAATGTTCTTTATGCACTTGAGAAGAATATGTATTCTGCCGTTGTTGGGTGGAGGGTTAGGTCTAATTGGTTTATGGTGTTTTTCAAATTCTTTATTTCCTTACTGATTTCCATCTGGTTGTAATATCCATTATTGAAAAGGGGGTACTAATATCTCCACTATTAATGTGGAACTGTCCATTTCTCCCTTCAATTCTGTCAGTTTTTGCTTCATATGTTTTGGGGCCTCTGCTGTTAGATATATATATGTTTATAATTATTATACCTTCTTGATGGATTATACCTTTTATCAATATATAATGTCCTCAAGGATGAGAGATACATGATCCCTGCCCTTGAGCAGCTCACAAACCAGTCCAGGGAAGAGGCTGGGAGACAACTGTAGCAAGAGCTGCAAAGAGAGGCCTTGCCACATGCTGCAGGCAGAACCTCATCTCCTCAGGTGTCCTGTGTCCCTGGAGTGGTGATTGCACGTAGCAAGTACTTGGTCAGCACTGGCTGGGTGCAAGTGAGGGGCACTGACTGTGAGGTCTGCACTAGCTTTCATTTAGAGAAACTGAGACTCATTCTAGTGGCAGAGCTGGGACCAAAACCCAGTGCTCCTGACCTTCTGTTTAGCGGCCACTCAACCATGATGGCAGGGTTGATTTCAGTATTGAATTCATGGCTGAGATATTCAGTCATCATGGCCTTATTATTTTATTCATTCCAAGATCCTACTATGTTACAGCAGATACTTGGTAATGGTGAGTAAAATCTGAGAATGCCTCTTTCTTTGTGGAGCCGAGAGCCTAATGAGAGGTAGGCAGACATTAACCAATCACCACAAAGGGTAACATTACAAACAACGACTGATATTTATTGAGAGTTTAGGATATGTTGGGCACTAGCTTAGGAGTGTTTGTGTACATTAACTCATTTTATCCTCAAAATAATTTTTGGCGTTGCGGGTATCATTCCCTTTTTATATTAATATGTAGGGGAAAGAAAGCACAGAAAGGTGAGGTAACTTAGCCAATGTCACACAGCTAGAAAGTGGTGGGGGGGGGATCCCAATACTCTGAGTCCCAGTTTCCTTAGTTTCAAAAAGCAGAATGACAAAGCTTGGTTGCAGAGATAAAGTTAAAAGAGATACGTCTGGCAGACACATCTAGCAAAGGACTGGGCTTACAGAAGGTACTCAGTAATGATTACTGGATTTCAATGGCTCTGGGATTTGTGAGGTGGATGGGGACTTCCCTCACCCTATGGGTGAGTCCTCCTGGTACTTGCACAGGTTTTGTGAGTGACAGGTCCCCATTTATCAGAGATATTATGCTGGGGAATGAAGAATCTGGGTAAGTACTGGGCCCCCTGCACAAAGAGAAAGGTCCAGGCTTCTCAACCGGGCACCTGGACACCCTTGGATGGTCTAACCAGCCCCGAGCACCATGCCCTGCATACACCAGAGGGCTCGCCCTCCTCAAACCTGCGCCCACACTTTTGCTCCTGTTGTCCCCCACCTTAAATGCCTGCCCATCGCATCTCTGCCTCCTCAGACAAGTGGCTTTCTCAGGGAATGCCCTCTTTGTCAGAGAGAATCTGTACATCTGATTTGTGACCAAGGCCCAGGTCAGTTCTGATCCGTTCCCCATCCCAGTGGATGTGGGAGAGAGAGCTCAGTGTGTGTCTGCTCACCCACCAGACTGGAGGCTGGGATCGTGGATTCCTTCTCTCCCACCACCATAAGACCTAGAAAGGAGGAAACAATGAGGACCCTGTTGGATTAAGGCCATACTTTCTCCCAGAGAAAAACTGTGTCAAACTCTCCTGATATAAAAATTTTTACCACCTTTTTCAGTGACACAAGGTTCTGCCCTGTGGCTAAATTAAGTGTGTCTCAACATGGATCTCCCCAAGGCTGCCTCCTAACCATGGATAGTGGAAATCATTATTGGGCAAAGTTTGTTCAACAGAAATTCTCTTTAGTTCTTGATCTTTTTACCAAGGGAATGAATTAGACCTGAGACTTCATTGTTCAGCCCAAGTGCCACCCCGTGAATTGCTGGCCTGTATGCCATCTGTGTGGACAGCGCCTGTGCATCCCATCACACTGCAGGGGACAGCTGCTGGGTAGCCTGGGCCTTCTCAGGGGCAGATGTCCTGGAACGGCCTTGTCGCAATGTGGGAGGTCAACGTCAGCTCTCCGAGCACATCAACAGAATCTGGGTAAGTCCCGGGAGCCATGACCTGGCCTTGATTTTCTGAGCGTGACCAGTCTGGGGTTGTTGATCAGGGTCTGCAGCAGTAGCCACCTTGTCCTGGACCTCACTGAGGTGCGGGGACCTAGGACAGAACCAGAACCAGTAGGCTGGGAGGAGGGGGCAGCTTGTCTCTGTCCTTCTCAGAGGCTGTAGCAAAAGCTGCCCAGAAGGTGCGAGGTGTAGAAGAAGGAGCTGGACTAGGACTCCTGGGGACATGAGGGCGGCTGGAGGGATGTGAGTTTGTCCCACAGATCTGGGTATCTGCAGCATTGGGAATAGCAATGAAAACGGTCCAGGTCAGTGTTGAGTGTCCACGACAGAACATGGCTAACTGGAGGGCTTCCCAGCGGAAGGCAGAGCAGAATAATAGGGGTGGCAGGGGTGGGAGTAGACAGTATAGAACCTTCAGGGGATAGGAGTCGGTGGCTGGGAGAGCTTGTGGTAAGGAATGGGGCAAATTAAGCAAAACTGCACACCATCTTGGAGGGCACCTGGCTTGCAGCCTGAGCTATGGGTAGCATCTCAAACAAATGGTTGAATGAAGGACTCAGCTAGCAGAACTAGAGCTCGTTTCTGGAAACAAGGAGCCCAGTTGGCAGGACAAGGACACAAGGCCTCAGGGGTCCTGTAGCCAGGCTGACTGGGGGCAAAGCCTCCTGATCCCCTGGGTAAGAAGGGCTCCCAGGGCAGGGAGTGTGGAGGAAGAGGGGCAGGGAAGGAGGAACCTGGGACATCTCAGGGATCCCAGGGAAGCCTGAAGGTACGTGTTTCCTGGTGTCCGACCCCAGTGTAGGTTCAAACAGGAGACTTACCTGCTGACTGATTTAGGTACCAGTATTTGATGGCCTGCTGCAGCCTCCTCTCTCTGTGGCCTGTGATCAGGATGTGACAAAAGCTGACGAGCACAGGGTTGGTGTGATAATGATCCACATAGAGCATGCCAATCCACGCACTGAACCCTGAAATCCAGAAGGCAAGTCAGGCCACGCAGTACGTCCCAGGATGGCCCAGCTTGTGCTTTTTATGACGCAACTGCAGCATCACTTTGTTCCCAAATGGTGCCTGTGTCTTTGCGGAGAATCTAGAAAATGAGGTATAAGGAGCTGGAAAGATTCTTAGAGATCACACCCTAATCTGTTCATTTTATGGGAATTTGAAGCTCATAGCAGCTAGGAGCCTCTGTGTCTTATATGAAGAAGGCAGCAGCCATTAAATGAATGAATGAGTGAATGAACAGACATGGGCCAGAAATAGGACAAAAACTGTTTTTTCTCCACAGAAAAAGCTTTGATTTGGGCGCATCGAAACTGAACAAACCATTTTCTTAACTAAGCTTGCAGCTAACAACACCAGTAATTCTGAGATGTGTTTTCTCAACATTTTCAGAGCCACGCATTCACAAATTACCTTCTAACTGTTCAGATAGAATTCGCTACCTCTTACTGCCCTTCATTCTATCTCAAAGGTCTGTCAAACATGCAAGTATTTAATAGCCTGAATTCCCTTCTGACCATTGGGCTGAATAGTTTTGTTTTGTTTTTCTATTCAGCTTTATAGCCTCCATGGGAAGATAAGCTCTAAGCATAAGTGAAGTATGCACTCAGGCCTCTGGTACCCGACTTCCAGGCAGCTTCTGCAAAAGTACAAGGCCAGCGCTCCCCAGATGCATGGCCACGTACCCATGTCTGCTCTCTCACAGCCACTCTGCAGAATGGTCCTGTCGATGCGGGCGATCAGCCACGTGCCCAGGATGCAGCTAATGAGAAGCCTGCAGAGGCAGGCGCCCAGGCCCAGCAGCACGTTGTAGAAGAACAGAAAGTAGTTGAAGTTGTGGAAAGCTCTCCTGCAGACAAAAGCAGGTGGAGGGGCAGCGCCTTTCAGTATGAGAAGGTGGCTACGCAGGTGGGCTCAGGGGCCCCCCAGACCTGTGGTCAAAGCCTACGTCTCCCATCTCCTAGCCGTGTGACCTTGTGCTCTTAGCAGGAGCTGACTGTCCCCATTTCGCAGGTGATGTGAGGACTGGCTCAGAAACAGTGTAGAGGGTGCTGAGCCCAGGGCAGGCTGAATGTGAGTGGGGACTATAAACCTCATGTGGCTACAGCTGGGTTTGTGGTTATGGCAGAGGGTGTGGCTTTCCCACTGTCCACTGCAACAGTGACCTGCCCCCAGCTAGAACTGCTCCAAGTCCTCCAGATGAAATTTCTCAAATGACCATCTGATCACGTGATCGGTCTCCTGTTGCCTACGGGATGAAGCCCAAACACTGCATATGAATTCTGGGGTCCTCTCTGAGAGGGGCTTTTCTGGCATTACCACTTTGTACCTCCTTCCTGTCCCTCACCATCCAAGGCCACCGCATGGCCACAATATTGGATTCTCACTCTTCTCCCAACACATCCTGCCCTTTCATGGCTTCCTGCTTGCATCGGTGCAGCGGGGGCTGCAGCCACGCCATCTCCTCATCTCTGCCTGTAGGAATCTTACCATCCCACCAACCTCAGCTCACATGTCCCGCCTGTAGCTGAAAGAGAACCCCCGCCTCTCCTTCCCCCCCCCCCCCTCCCCCCCCCCACCCCCACCCCCCTGCCTCTCCTCCACCACCCCCTTCTTCGTTACTCATGTTTCTCTTGCAATGCTTTCACACCCTCTGGACTCTACTGTCCCTATATGTCTGTGTCTGTCGGCTCCAGTGCACCGTGAGCACATCACAGGCAGATTGTGTGGGGTATCTCTTTATCCTCAGTGCCCGTGTTGTTTCCTCCATGAGTGAACAGCTTTGAATGAATGAACTAGAAAGGATTACCCATGGGACAGGCACTATTGTTCTAAGTTCATATTTTAATGCATTTCAGCCTCAGAACACCTCTCTGATGTATGCACAATTATTTGTAACATGAGGAAGTGGAGGTTCATAGATGTTTAGTAAGGGCACACAAGGTCACAGAGCTCATAAGGGGCAGAGCCAAGATTTGGCTGCAGGCAGTTAGGCCCCGGCTCTGAACCACTGCCCCTCACCCTCTCAGAGAGTGTAGAGTCCACCCAGGAACCTGCCAAGGGTGAAGAGGAAGGAACGAGACTGCTGAGGCCAAAGCCCTACAATGCCCCGCTCCCTTCTCTGCCCTCACCTGTTGTTGAGAGCCAAGGGCTTCTGCTTGTCAGCTGTTCCCATCTTTGGTTGCAGGAAGAAGCTGGCGGCAATCCATACCTGCAGGACCATGAGGCCCAGGACGATGGATATGGTGAGGCTGAAACACAAGGTGAGACCATGCTGAGGTGGCCTTGTCCACTCTTCCCAAGCCCATCTCGAATGCCCCTTGATAGAGAGAAGAGAGATGCTGACTGCCTGCCAGACCAACAGTAGCTTGAGCTCTGCCCTTTATGCCTACAGAGCATTCTCCTGCCCACTGTGCAGATGAGAAAACTGAGGCTCACAAAGGGCAGATGACTTTCTTAAAGCTGCATCATCAGGTCTTCTGGCTCCAGACCAGAACTCCAGGATTTAATTATGTCTTTTTGTTGAGGGGTGGCAGCTGGGCTGAGTGGTTTAACAGCATAGGAATCAAAGAAAGGATGGGGTTTTTAGAAGAGCTCATGAAGGCCACGGGAGAGTGGACAGGGCAGGTTCTGCCCCAGACTCACAGGAAGCTCTAGGTGAGTTTGGAACAAAGGAGCTCAGAGCAGGGAGGTCCCCAGAGGGCATTACGCCCTGTGTTTGCATTCTTTGAGTGGCAATGTGAGGTGGTGGTTTAAAGAGGCTTTGGCTTCAGATTGCCCAGCTCCCAGTCCTGCCTCCTCCCCTGGGACAAACTGCTCAGCCTCTCTGTGCCTCTGTTTCCTCATCTGAAAAAAGGGAGCTAATGTAAGTCCCAACCTCAAAGAGCTCTTAAGAGAAAAGATGTGTAGTGAATTCTCAATAATGTCAGCATTCACTTTTACTTTCCATATGGGTAAACTGAGGCTCAGAGAGGCACTTACAAGCCACACATCTGATCTAAAACCCAAGCTCAGATTCCCTCTCTCCTTCCACTATACTGTCCTTTCTCTCACTTCACCTCCCTGAACCTCAATCTTTCCACCTATAAAATGGACACATATATATCTCCCACAGACACAATTGTGAGGACACCATTGAACGGTGAGAGTGGAAACATTTTGTAAACTGAGAGGTTCCCATCACAATGAGTTGGTATTTTAGCCCATCCTTGGGTCAGAGCTGGGAGCATGGGTCCAGGGATTGGTGAGAGCCCAGCAGGGAAGGGGTATTTCAAACAGCAGCTGTGAGGGCCCACCAGCTCCCAGGCCCTGGGCAGTGACACGAAGTCCACCCAGCACTTACATCCCGATGCCCAGTCCTCGGAGCATCTCCAGGGCCTGATTGTGGATGACAGGTAGCACCAGGCTGTACATGATCACTAGGCCACACAGGCTCTGCATCACGTGGATGATGAGGTAGCCTGTGGGTCAAGGGAGCCGGTGGTCGCTCAAGGCCCTTCAGGATCCAGTCACACAGGTCCCACCCTGCAGTCTCCCCTCTAGCCTCCTCCCAAGCGAAGGTCCTGGCACTCTTACTTGCACTGTGTCTTCTGCCTGGCATGACCGCTGACCTTCTGCTCACCCTGCCAGGTGCAGTTCAAACATCAACTCCACTAGAAAGGCTTCTTGCCCTGTCCTGGGTGTGGACAGTCACTTCCTCCTCTGGGTCACCACCGCCCTTAGCATACACACCCCGTGGGCACAGGACAGGTGGTGATGATGACCTACACGAATGTGTGCTTCTCACTCCTTCCGGAAGGTCCCTCAAGGAAGAGCTGGGGCCACTTCTGCCCTACGTCTCTCCTCCCTACCCACAGCCAGGACTCTGCAGGTGCGCAGGGAATGTGTATTGAATTGAATGGGTCATGTGAGGGCACTTACCCCACAGAATATAAGCTATCTGCCAGCCAGAGTACCTTGCAATGGCCACCTGAGATTTAGAAAGAAAAAAGGGTCTGAGAGGGGAGACATGCTGATTACCTCTAACACGTGTCCAGCATCCTTGTCTCATGTGAGGGTCACCCACCAACCCACCAAGGCAGGTGTCATGATTGTCCTCATTTTACAGATGAGGAAACTGAGGGCTGGATGGGGACAGTGGCTGTCCCGAGTCACCCAGCAGCAGAACATACTAGAATTGAAGACTCTGGACCCCCAGCCCAGAGCTCTTCCTTGCCCCTCTCCCTCCGTCTGAGATGCAGGAGAGCAGGTTTTGGCCTCGGAGCAGAGAGAGGCCTCTGTAGACTTACCACACTCTCTGACGAGGAAGGATTATGGAACTTCAAAGGGAGAAAGTGTTTATCTCCTGCCCACAACCTCTTCATTTGCTTTCTAAAGAAAAAGTGGGCGTTAGTAATGCTCATGACCAGGGCTTAAAAATCATTTTTTAATACTTTTTTTGAAAATTGAGATATAATTGACATATAACATGATATTATTTCAGGTGTACAATATAATAATTCGATATTTGTATATATTGTGAAATGATCACAGTAAGTCTTGTTAATATCTGTCACTGCACACAGTTACAAAATTTTTTTTCTTGTGATGAGAACTTTTAATCTACTCTCTTAGAAACTTTCAAATATTCACTATTTTTTAACTGTAGTCGCCATGCTGTACATTACATCCCTATGACTTATTTATTTTATAACTGAAAGTTTGTGCTTTTTGATGCCATTCACCCATTTCACTCCCCCCACCCCACCTCTGGTAACCACCAATCTGTTCTATGAGTTTAGTTTTAGTTTTGTTTCGTTTAGAGTCCATATATGAGTGAAATCATATGGTATTTGTCTTTCTCCACCTGACTTATTTCACTTAGCATAATGTCCTCAAGGTCATAAATGCTGTCACAAATGACAAGATTTCATTCTTTTTTATGGCTGAGTAGTATTCTGGTGTGTGTGTGTGTGTGTGTGTGTGTGTGTGTGTGTGTGTGTATTCCACATCTTCTTTACCCATTCACCCATCCCTGGACACTTAGGTTGCTTCCATATCTTGGCTATTGTAAATAGAGCTGCAATGAACACTGGGGTGCATGTATCTTTTTAAATTACTGTTTCCACTTTTTTGGATATATGCCCAGGAGTGAGATTGCTGGATCATACGGTAGCTCTATTTTTAATTTTTTGAGGAGCCCCCATACTATTTTCATAGTGGCTGTACCAATTTACCTTCCCACCAATAGTGTAGGAGGGTTCCCTTTTCTCCACATCTTTGTCAACACTTATCTCTTGTCTTTCTGGTAATAGCCATTCTGAAAGATGTGAGGTGACATCTCATTGTGGTTTTGATTCGCATTTTCCTGATGATTTAGAAATCTTAAACTTAATATATTTTGTAAAAATAGCATATAGCTACCTAATCTCAATGGTGACTGAATGTGAGAGTTGAGACTGTGTGTGTGTCTTTTAGTTTCTTTAGCTTGATCTATTTTCTTATTTTCTCTACAATGAATATACATTACCTGTATAATATTATTTCAAAACAGGTAAAACAATTTTAACGATAGCCCCCCACTTATAACAACATAAAATGAAATGAAAAAGAAGCCACAATTCCTCACAATCCCAGCACCCAAAGAAATCACTGTGTGCTTTTCCCATGTGCCCGTCTCAGCCTGGCCTTTTGCCTAAAGATTAGGTTGGCATAGTTTTGTTCACAGTCCACATTCACATCTATATCCTCCTTTTTTCTTAACATCCCATTCCAGCAATTTCCAGGTTATTTTGCAATTTTATCACCACTGAATTGGGAAAACTTAGTATGAAATAAAGAATGTAAGTATCTCATTAATAGTTTGCATATTTATTACATAATGAAATGATATTTGAGTTATGCTGGGTTAAATAACATATTAAATTATTTTCACCTCTCCTTTAACTTTTTTAAATAGTGTCTATTAGAAAATGTAAAATTGTATCTGTGGCTTTCATTGTGTTTCTGTTTGGCAGTACCAGAGGCGTGCAACCAGGAATACAAACATGCACAGATATATTTGCAGAGAAAATTTCTGGAAGGATGCACAGAAAATGAATAATAGTGCTTAGCTCTTGGGCAACAATCTGGGCCCTGATGGGAAGAAGACTTACTTTACACTAAATATTTTTGTAACTTTGTTTTTAAAACACAAGCCTGTAGATAGGTTGGCATAATTATAAGAAAAATAACAATACTGGCACAGTGCTAGTGCTGTCCAAAGGGTGCTTTCTCATCCATTATTTCCTCTGCCCCATGGTCCTGTAAAGGAGGCAGGGCGGGGATTGTCACTCCTGGGTGACAGGTGTGGGAGGGAAGGGCCAGCCTGGACGGGAGGGAGGCCTCCCCACCACAGGGGCCTTCTTGTCCCTGTGCCCTCAGCTACCCTCCACCCACATCCATGCAGCCAGCTCTGCATTGTGGTTGTTCCTGGTTGCGGTCAAATGCCTCAGTGAATATCTCCCAAACACTTGTAGGCTAATGAAGGAAGGAGCAGACATATCCCTACAACAGGCAGGGAAAGGGTAAGCAGCAGTGTCCAGTCCACCCACAGAGCCCAGGGAGAAGAAAGCAGAGACAGGGAGCAAGCCAGGGCTGGGATGGAGAACTGGGGCTCTTTGTGCCAGCAGAGTCTTCACTTAGATGTCATCTGCAAGAGACCCAACCTTTGAGTAGCCAGATGGGGAGGATGCAAAAGCAGGATGCTCTGCAGGGGTGGGAATTGGCCCTGGGCTTCCTGTGAGTGAGTGGGTGACTGTGAACTAGAGACTGAGACAGAGAGAGAGAGAGAGAGAGCGCGAGAGAGCGAGAGAGAGAGAGAGAGAGAGAGAGAGAGAGAGAGAGAGAGAGAGAGAGAGAGAGAGAGAGAG